TGAAAAAGTCGAAAATGATAGAGTGATGAGCCAATGTTCCTGTCAAAAGGAACAGATTGTCCACATAGGATTGGATGTCCCGAAATGGCTGTTGCTGGTAAAGTCCGTGAAGGCAATGTTCGTCCACCTCACTGAGACTGAAGGTTCCTCGAAGAAGATATTGGCTTTTATGTCTCGCAATGGCAAGTTTGTTACAGACTTTGGCTACAAAACAAGGAGAAACCCTGCCTTATGCTGCAATTTTCTCTGTGACGATCGTTCTTGATGCCGACGATTCCAATAGGCCATTATTTTCAATCATGGCCGCAATTTCGACCGTTTTTTCGAATGAATAGGGGTGTTCAGGTAAAAAGTGACCATTGCTATGAGCGACGTCGGTTCTATAGGGATTGAACCGGCGGTTTGCGTTGATACTGTCCATCTTTGTTGGTCGTCTTCGATTTTGTTTGGTTGTTTTGATGTTTGAAGCTGGAACGCGTCGTGTTAGTCGACTTTTGATGGAATGGCGCGATCGATTGAATACAATGGAAGTTGCAATACAAAAATATCATGTATTTTAATATTCCATATTATTTCTTTTTGGGGCCTAAAGAGGATCTACCGAAATCTGTCATTTGCGAATATCAAGAGCCACCTACCGGTACCTGGTACAGTAGTGGCTAATGACAATACTTCATCAGCAAAACTTGCATAGCTGCAATGTCCATCAAGCACTACGAATCACCACTGCTGCTTTCTGAAGCAAGGCAAGCCAGCTGGTTCATGGCATCATCGTCACTACTGTCTGTGACTTTTCTCGCCAGCCAGGAGCACTGGCAATAGTCTCCAAATATCAAAGATAATAGATATCATTGACTGACGCCATGGAGATTACTTCTGGGACCTTATTGACGCTAGAGTCCAAAATAGATCCAACAACATCTCTCACTGGCTCATATCATCAAAGCCCCTAATTGCCCTCCGCCGTCCTTGGAAAGCTCGAAATTGATTCGTTTATGTCGTTTTCTCATGATCGTAGTTTCTCCTTCTGTCGGTGGTATAGATAGCAGTCCCGCCCACATTCGTTCCGCGAAATGCCCTTCTTCGATATTGTCCGATCGAGACAAGCTAGATTCGATTTGGTCAAAAATTGTGGAGGGAATGGCAGCTATTCGAGATGCTTGGACAGCAAATGTACCACCGTAGCAAACTGGTGTAAAGGGCGATGGAAGTCGCAATCCACCACCAAGCGTAGTTTGAAGCCATTCTCCCATGTTCGAATACGGTGATTTGAAGTTTGAGTTGTCATTGCTCGTCTTTTCGGGTCGGTACAAAGTGAGATTGAACTTTTGTAGGGTTTCCGTGTCGTGATACATCGAGATTCCCTCCCTGGGCTTGAGAAAGCACCCAAAACCATTCACTGAAGCCACATTTAACATGTCGGTGAGGCTCCTTGGCATGGCTTTCTGGTGTAGTTTAAGATTATCTTTCAAAAAGACAATCATGTGGTTTTCGAATGATTTCGGGTCCTTTGATATCGTTGACATAACATGAGCTATTGTGTTGTCATTTCTTCCGACATTCGGCAAAGTGATTTGCTTCACGCGGCGTAACATCTTCTTTCCAAGTGGAATAGGATTTCCGCATTTGGAAATGATGGTTGTGTTGCTCATCGTGTGGCCCACCAAAAATATGCTCAACCAAGTCAGATCCCCGCTACAGTAATTAAGGAATAATGAGATTGGTTGACCATTTGAGGACGGGGAGGGTACATCTCCCACCCAAAGCTGATCGACAGTCTTTGATGCAGGCACACTGCCTGAATCGACGACTACAGGACCAATGCTGCTTGGAGGAACCGTATTCAAAATTGGTTGATCTGGCGGGGAAGAGCAATCTTTCAAAAGCACATTCAGAAGCAATATGCAACCAACAAATAAACCAAGTTGCAATGTCGATGCACAGTTTATTTGCCTATGCCTCATCCCACGACGAATGTTCATGGTGCCGGATGATTGATGAGGAAATGAAAATTGTCATGGTCGATATTTAAAATTAAAAAAAGATGATTGAATAGAGGTTAAAAATTGCAATACAAAAATATATTCCATATTCTTTCAGTTTTGCGCCTAAAAAAGGCCTTCACAATAGGTGTCACATCAAAATCAATCTGAAAATCCCCAAACCGCGACAAAAAGATGCATCGCTTCAATGTGCTGCTGACAAGACTTATTCTCCTATTCTCTGCTGTTGTCTTGATCCATTCTTCAAGTGGTGGTTCCAATCACAATGATAATGAGGATGATGGTCATATGGTGTTGACCGATCAAGTTTGGACCGTCTCTTGGAATGCTCCATTCTTGTCATCTTCGTCAGGATATGGAAGCGAAGCCACCTCCTTCTTGATTGGTCTCAATCAAACTCTTCCCGAACTAAAAGAGAAGGGTGACCATTGGCAGATTGGCGCTGGTCTAGCACACGCAGATAGTATTGATCACAAGTACATGAACGGTCTACCAACCGATTTGGAGGATCTCTTTTTCAAAGCCAGTGGTTTGCAACATATTATGGATCCCGATTTCACGGTAGTCGTTTGCCATTCCGAACCTGGAGCATGGTCCGTTCCTACACCATTGTACGAGAGTCCGTGGCCTTGTCCTCCTCCTATTCAGGACAACAACAAGAAAAAATGGAAAAAGCTTGTGGGTAGAACCATGTTCGAGACGGACCGGTTGCCGAATGGTTGGGACGATCGATTGAACCAAATGGACGAAATATGGGTTCCGACCCATCATCACAAACAGATATTTGAAAATGGGGGTGTCACCAAGCCAGTGGTAGTGGTAGGGCAAGGTATTGATGTCGACTATTGGGATCCCCATGAACAAGAACCTCTTCCTTTCGACAAAATTGACAAACACAGTCGTTGTTCGGAAAGCGACTACAAGTTTCTGTCCGTGTTTAAATGGGAATCACGGAAAGGACCTGATATATTGCTACCTTCCTTTTTCAATGCATTCCCAGGAAGAAAGGGGGCCTGTCTAATTATTGTGACCAGTCTGTATCACCGCGATGCCGAATTGGTGGTGGACGAAGTCAAGGCCTATTGGAAACAGCACCTTCAAGCTACTACTAGTAGTACTCCAAATCAACAAGCAGCACGACCGGAAGTCAAGGGTGTCATTTTGTTGACGGGATTAAAGCTCAAGGCACTCGTTCGATTGTACAATTCAGTGGATGCCTTTGTGTTGCCCAGTCGAGGGGAAGGCTGGGGACGACCATACATGGAAGCCATGGCCATGGGGTTGCCAGTGATTGCTACGAATTGGTCGGGACCTACAGAGTTTCTCAATGAAGATAATGGTTACCTTTTACCCATCAGAGGATTGGTCAATGCCAACTTGGATAGCTTCCCTGGGCACAAGTGGGCAGATCCTGATCCTGCCATCTTGACCAAGTTAATGAAGCACCTTTCGGAAAATCCAAACGAGGGAAAAGTCAAAGGTCAACGTGCTCGAAAGGATGCCGTAGAAAAGTGGTCCAACTTGGCACTATCTCGAGATGTCGCTCGAGAATTGCAAAGGCTAGCGGGAAGATCAAGTGACAATGTGGGTGGCGGTAGCACCTCCACTACCAACGAGAAGGTAGTAAATCCTCAGAGCAATGATGCTGATGAGCTGTGACAAACCTTATTGCAAAACAAGTTCGCTGTCGAACACCGAAGGGAGTGGATGAAGTCATGTCAAATGGGATTGAATATATCGAGCTGTTCTTTCCCCTTAGCATGCTCATCTTTAGGCCATATTCAGTAGCCTAGAATGAATACTAACAGATCTCTACCTACCGGTAGGACGACCTCTAGCTAGGAGTGACAAACGCATGGAAGGACGGACTGTCTCTTTTTCAATCGTTTGGATTCGAAACGGTCGAAAAATGCCAATCACACGACCGCGTTTTCAATTTTCATTCCTTCAAGCGTCTGACCTTTCCAAACCCAAACCATCGACAGTGTCTATTGTTCGCCAATAACACCTAGCAAGCAACTGCACTAATAAAAATGGATACCATTCAAGAGCTCGCTTCTAATTGTCGTGTGGCAACACCGAGCAATACTGTGTTGCACTCCGAGTGTGCCTACACCTTCCATTCGCCTTATAGCAGTCAGAAGGGATTGATTGTGAATCTCAATACCTTCATTGGCACTATTGAACCGCTAGCATTCAACAATGTCTCGGAAGAAAAGGGAATCTTTCTTCGCATTATCAAGAAGCGGGTCGAAAAGAAAGTGGAAGAAGGCAAGGAAGAAGAGAACAAGCCGACAAAATTAGCCATTGGCGTGGATGGGGGCTTTGCTACAGACGATGACAAATACGAGACAATTTCCACTTATTCTGTGCTGGTCATGGAGAAGTCAGGCAAAGTGCTAGTAGAAGAACCATATGATGAGACGACCAAAGAGAAATTCCCCGAAGCAGTCGTCAAGAGCGTCGAATCTGTCATCAATCATGTGGGCTTGGCCATTCAACAAGACTTGAAGGCTTGGGAAAATGATGAAGAAGTCCCAGTGTCCAAGTATGCAGCTGATCTACCATTTGTCGACAATGGAATTAGTATTTCTCCTGACCCCAAGGCCTGGAAGTGCGAAAAGTCAGGTGATACCGAAAACTTGTGGCTAAATCTCAGTGATGGATTTATTGGGGGCGGCCGCAAGAATTGGGATGGAAGTGGTGGATCCAATGGGGCTCTAGATCATTTCGAAGAGACAGGGGAAAAGTACCCGCTGGTAGTCAAGCTTGGGACCATCACTGCCGAAGGATCGACCATTCATGCCGATTGTTATTCTTATGCCAAGGACGAGGATGGACCTGTCAAGATTCCAAACTTGACTGAAATGTTGATGAAGCGAGGAATCAATGCTGCCTCGTTGCAGAAGACAGAAAAGTCTACTGCTGAACTTGAAGTGGAGCTGAATGCTGTAAGTCACTATTTGTAGGATTCGTAATTGAGACGAGAATATGCAGTGTTGTTCATGCGTCTCACACCTCAAACCATTTCTTCACAACCACAGAACTATGCATTTGATGCCATTACCGAGAGTGGGTCGAAGCTCATCTCGGTTACTGGTCCAGAATTGCAAGGCTTGCAGAATCTTGGTAACTCTTGCTACCTAAACTCTATCGTTCAATGTTTGGCTTCTCTTCCCGACGTCAAAGCCAAATACGGAACCGTCCCAGAGGGTGATATCACATCACACAAATTCTTTTCTGGTGTCACACCTCGAAATGCTCCAAACGAGCTCCTCGTACAAACTGCCAGATTGATGAGTGCCTTGTCTAGTGGAGCTTTTTCTCTTCCCAAGGACCAGTTGGATTCGACTGCTCCTGCCGACCCTAAGTACCGATTGGCACCACGTATGTTCAAGCATTTGATTGGCAAGGATCACGTTGACTTCAAGACAGGCCAGCAACAAGATGCCGCTCAATTCTTGCAGTACATGTTGGAGCAGTTGGATCGCGCCGAAATGAAACACGATCGCAATATGCAAAAGACATCGCAGTTATTTTCCTTCCAGAACGAATCTCGGTTGCGTTGTTCATCCGACAACAAGATCAAGTACAAGGATAGCGCGCCCGAAACCATTTGGAGCTTGAGGGTACCAATGGAGCGAGCGGTTGTTTTGCCTAGCCCTGCCGAGCCAGAGCAAAAGAAGCTAAAACAAGAAGATGAAAAGGTTGTCCCAACTGTTACTTTTGATGCGTGCTTGGATGGCTGGGCTTCAGATGCGATCGTCGATGATTACCGATGGCCGCACTTGGGAAATTCCATCGCTGCGGCGACCGAAAAGACAAGATTCAAGAACTTTCCCAAGTACTTGTGGGTCCAGATCCAACGGTACACTCTGGGAGCCGACTGGCAACCAGTCAAGCTGGAAGTCAATCTTGACATTCCCGAAGAGTTGGATTTGTCCGCGTACAAGGCAAAGGGGCCTCAAGAAGGAGAAGATCTTGTTCCAGAGGAGTCTGACGCACCAGCAGCAGCACAACCAGAAATTAGTGAGATGGCGCTTGGTCAATTGATGGATATGGGATTCGGTATGAATGGGTGCAAGCGTGCGCTGATTGCTGTTGGAGGAAGTGACACAGAAGCTGCCATGAATTGGATCTTTGAGCACAATATGGATGCTGATTTCAACGACCCACTCCCTGAAGGAGGAGCCCCAGCGGCCGGTGGTGCCAGCGACGGAGTCGATTCTGCTGTTGCCCAAAGCCTGGTGGATAGCTTGGGATGCTTTACCATGGATCAAGTCAAGGTCGCGCTGATGGAAACTAACGGAGCAGCAGACCGGGCTGCTGACTGGTTATTTTCACACATGGACAATCTTGACGGAGCCATTGCATCCATTCAAGACAAGAAAGCAGCAGCTGATTCCGCATCAAATGTCGAACTTGACGACGGGCCAGGCAAGTACAAAATGGTGGGAATGGTTTCTCACATTGGGAAGAACACTGGAAGTGGGCATTACGTGGCCCACATTAAGCGTGATGGCAAATGGGTCATTTTCAACGATGAGAAGGTGGCTCTCTCCGAGAACCCCCCTCTGCCGCATGCGTACCTCTACCTCTACGAGCGTTTGGAATCCTAGCTAGGTACATTGCATACACACATATTAAAATAGCTATCTATGAAATGAAACTGAATGAGCACCACATAGCGACTGGATTGCTTGCGACACTCGAAAAGGCTACATTTTTGCATCCAACTTGGCTGGAGCAAATCGAGAGGTTGGTGGTCCAGTATAGAATTTCTTGTTCACGTCACTGCCGTCACCAAATTTGTTCCATGGTCGTGTCGCGGTTCCCATATCGGACAAGTGCCCCGTGAACCCATTATGCCCTGTCAAATCGTCGTGGGCCGCAATGGACCAGACGTTTGTTTCTTTGGTCCGTGTCAATCCGTAGATACTGCAGGGTCCTGCTGGAGTAATGTCTGAAAACTGCTGTTGGGAAAATGCCTTGGACAGGGCAATGCATCCAGCGGCATGCGATACCATGACAATGATTTGCCTCTTTTTGAATGGATGCCGTTTGTGGAAACAATCTACGGTCCGTTGACACCTTTTCAAGAACTTTGATTTTGGTTCTGTTGTTGTTGTTGGTGGTGATTATTGTTGTGTTGTGGGTGGGTGTATTTGTGTGCAATTGTATTGTTTGTTGGATGGACGGTGAGCAAAGCAAAGCGCAAACTGCAAACAACACACACTCTCTCAAAAAGGTTGGTTTGCGTATACCTACGTACCTGGAAGCTCTGGAATAAAGTTTGATTCATAGGACATGTTCAGTCGAGGGAAGTAGTGTCTTCTCTCTTCCAAGGAGGGCAAGTCACTGTGCCATCCTCCGAACTTGCCATCCCACTCAAAGATGGAATATTCTGGATTGATTTCGGTAGTTCTGAGATCGACTTTCTCGAAGGCATTGAGGGCTTCTTCCGAAGTTTGCATACATCTCAGAAAGGGTGATGACAACCAAGTAATATCGTCACCGGTAAAGCCACGTTCGTGCATCCACGAGTCGAGGTATTGTCCAAACTCTCTTGCTTGCCTATGGCCCAGTAAACTCAAGGGTGAATCACCTTTACGAGATTCAGGAACTTCTTTCCATTCTGGATTGGCGTAATCCTGAACATGAAAGCAAGCAAAAGTGATAATCAGCAAGATTCAAAAAATCGAAAATGCCGAAGGAGACAAATAACAGATTTCGATGAATGAATGAATCAATCAATCTGACATGCTTCCAAACTTACCCATCGGTCTCCATGACGGACAAGAAACAAGTATTGCTTATCGTCTACGGAAGAATCGTTGCCCATTGCGTCGAAAGCAGTGTCGATTCTCGGCTTTTTTGCTTTTGCAAGATGCAACTTCCGGTAATGGATGATAATTGGAGGTCAGAAAACCTACCAACATGTCAGTCACGACCATGGTTAATTCCCGTGTATTTCGTCTGATCAAATGGATCCGGAAACACGAAAGACATTGATTGTGCGACCTCACAGATCACAGAATTCAGTTCCGAGAGACCCGGAGGAATTCTGTTCTCTGAAATCATCATCGAGACGTTGAATCATGACACATCTTTTCGGCGGTGACAGGTTTCCTTTCTTTCTGTCAACGACCATTCATTACTCTCCCAACCCTCAAGGCTATCTCTACCATGTTCCTCTCTCGAGCACTTCTATCTACCCTTGCGGCCACCTTGATCGCAGCCTCGTCTGCGGAGCGTTACAACGAAATCAAGATCCGTGACGACGCCATCCACAACAGTGAACTCAAGTCCCCCTTGCCTCACTCCTACATTGAGCTGGGCAGTCTTCCTGATTCCTTTTCTTGGGCTGATGTTGATGGTTCTTCGTACTTGACCCATTCATTGAACCAACACGTTCCGCAATGTAAGTGACTTTGATTCTGTGTTCGGTCACTTGTCAATTGAAATAATTGATTCGTGTCACTCAATCAATCGTATGATTTGTCATTGTAACAGATTGCGGAAGTTGCTGGGCCCATGGTTCCATTTCCTCTTTGGCTGATCGCATCAAGATTGCTCGTGGAGCCCAAGGTGATGACATTAATCTTTCCATTCAATTCGTTTTGAACTGTGGATCCGAAACCGCTGGCAGGTACGACTGAATGAATCAAAGGATTTCGACCACTGACTTTTGCATGCCATTCGGAACTTGACAGCACGATATACTCACCTCGTTATATCTTGTTTAGTTGCCACGGTGGATACCACACTTCTACCTATGAATTCATCAAGAGCACTGGATACATGTAAGTGACTGTGAACCTGGTCAGGTTTTTTGTCTCCATGCCGTAAAATGTGAAGGCGTGAAGGCTCATGTCTTTTTTCTGGCCAATCCAATATTTTACAGTCCCTACGATACTTGCCAACCCTACATTGCCTGCAGTAAGGAATCTACTGATGGATTCTGCAGTCACGTTGATACCACTTGTTCGGCTGGTGGAACTTGCAAGACTTGTGATACCTTTGCTGGCATGGGAGGTGCTTGTACCGAGATTGATTACTTTCCCAATGCTACCGTTGCTGAGTACGGTTTGATTGACTTTGATGAAGACAACATTGAAGGAACTTGCCACAAAATCATGGCCGAAATCTTTGCCCGTGGTCCTGTGGCTGCCACTATCAATGCCGAACCCATTGTCAAGTACGCTGGTGGTGTTTACACCGAGACTGGTCATCCTACTGAAACCAACCATATTGTTGCCATTGTTGGATGGGGTGCCTGCCCCAAGACTGGAAAGAAGTACTGGATCGTCCGCAACTCGTGGGGACAATACTGGGGAGAAATGGGATACATGCGTTTGGAAATGGGCAAGAACTTGTTGGGTATTGAAGGAGAAATTGCCTGGGCCACTCCTGGATCTTTTACGGTCATGAACTTTCCATGCTATGAGAATGGCGAGAACTGCGTCAAGCAACAGGAATACTTGGATCCCTCTATGGACATTGTCTCCATGCAGCGTCGTTTGAAGGCCCACAACGATGCCGAGCGCAAGAACATTCGCGGTTAAGAGATTCATTCATTCCCAACGCTATGGAATCACTACCTCTTTTGACTTCTTCTTCACTAGATAGACCTACTGATATAGAACTATCATTTATCATACAGCACTTATTATTTATTATTTTGTATGTATATATCTATTCAAGCAATAGCTTCTTTATTCCACGTCTTGCTTTGTATCACTGGCATTCAAATGATGTTGCTTTGTTCAGTTCTTGTCATGGTTCTTCTTTCCAAACCCTCTTAACACACCATCTTTGGCACCCTTAAAGACCGATCCGGTACCGTGGACTGCTCCACCACCAATTTGGCCAGCACCTTTTCCAATACCATTCACCATAGCTTTGCCGTCGCCCTTTACGATACCGGTACCAATGCCTTTACCTATTTGAAAGACACCACCCAAGACACCGCCAACGACTTGACCGACGCCTTGTCCAGCTCCAGCCACAACTTTTCCAGCTCCGCCAGTGACTGTAAAAAAGATATCAAAGAGAGACGTGTTGGTTTTTGAATAGGGTGACGAATGGATACACCGAAGCCTCAACATGAATCTTACCTCCAGTCAACGTATTTCCGACGCCTCCACCAACACCGCTAATCACAGTATTGACCCCGGCTCCAAGTTTCCTGGCACCAACTAGTCCAGTGGCTTCCTCGATTCCCTTTCCGAAGGTACGAGTAACGCCTGAGACACCATCTCCAAGTCCTCGTCCGACTGATCCAACTAAGGCCCCCGCGGCCATTCCTGCAATATTTCCAGTTGCCCGAAATTCATCACCTACAAACAAACAAACAAACAAGACAATTAGTTGACTTCAGATATTTACAAATACGCAAAATCAGATCAATCAAACTCTTACCTTCGACGAATGCATCTTCGCCCTCTCTGGCTGCCAAGAACTGCCAGTCTTGCAGACTTGCTGATGATAGCAGTGTCAAAACCTTGTACTTCATGCGGCCCACGTAGACCGCTCCAAGAGACTCCAATAATCGATCAGGCGGACCTTTGAGACTTTTGTTTTCGTATTTTCCGAACTTCAGCTTAGCCTTGTCTATCGAAAACTTCAACTTTCGAGTAAAGTAGTTCGTGAGTGCGGCACCTCTTACATTTTGGGCCATTTCGTATCGAGACTCGTCTGGTGTTCGGCGGAAACTGACAAGTAGTGCAAATGGAGAAACTCGGGTCAAATCCAACTCATATAGTTGATCGACACGAGGGGGTGTGTACGACACCCGCTCTACTTTGCTGCTCTCGACAAGGTAACCTTCTTGATCCAAACTATAGTCTCCAACCTCGTTGCTTGCCTCGGAAATCCGAGTCATCATGTCTACGATTCTCCAAACATACTCTTCCGATGTAGTCAGCTGTATCATTTCCGATTTGCCCTTCGAATGAGACAATGACAAATCAAAAACGTCAACTTTCACAATTTCTGCACCAATCGGTCCTCGGGTCTTAGCAGACAGATCAATCAAGTGTACATCTGATGAACTATTGAACACAACAGGGAATGATGACTCTGGAGTCAGGTCCTTCACTTGAAGCTGGTGTACGATCATGGATACTTCACACCTTTCGGGAGAAGACATCGACGATGTTTTGACTTTTTGGTCTCCATCCTCTTCTCCTTTTTCCTCGAACAGACGCTGGACGTCAACGTTTAACCCTGAAACGTTGACTGACATTACTGAACCAGGCTCTGAAGGCTTCGGTCGATTCTTGTCAGTGTGGTTTGCGAATGAAATGTCATTCTGGGAGGTCAATCCTTCGGCTCTTTGTTTTTCTTGGCTCTCATTCAGCACTAGTTGCAATTCAGTCCAGCGTACACGCAATCGAACGAAGTCATCCGCAAGAAATGCCGGAAGGACGGAAGATGCAATAGCCGCCTTCCCACCGGCCGTGATGTCTCCGATCTTCACAACTAGACGGGCATTTCCATATGAGTCCAACGCAGTTTGGACACACACGCTGCCAACCGGCGTCCCAGCTGTCGACTGGACAAGTTCCATCTTTACACCTAGTTGATCAACACGGATATACCTCGTTTTGCATTCTTCTTTGACGTAGCTCAGCGCAAGTTCCAGGCCTCCCGCTCTGGATACACATTTCAACGGAGCAAAGCTACCAGCTTCAATTCTTATGTCTTCCATTCCTTGTTCCGAAATGATTACAGCTTCCGCGCTTCCGTTAAAGACGGCAAACTCGGGGACGATGTGAATTTCAGATTGGTGCTCATTGACAAGTCGTCGATAGGCACAGTACCCGCTGCTTTTCTTATTCTCCCAAAGGATTGGCAATGCATTGACTCCTCCTTCACCAATCACCAAATCGTTCATCGTAAAAGGCTGCAAGACAGTGAGAAAAGACCAAAATGCTACACACAAGTATAGCTACAAAACAAAACTTACCAGCGTCGCCTTGTAACCATCCTCCTCCTCTGACGAAGTCTGTAGCAGCCGCATCCCATTTGTTGTTGGGAGCATTGTCAATCGACTGGAATCACCCTCTGAGGAAAATGCACCAAAAGGATGATACTGCTTCCGATCTTTACTGCTCTCTAACAAGTCAAAGAGGACTTCGCCCGTATGGTCGACACCGTAACAGCAAACCGTGGCGTGGAATGATCTCAATGGATCCTCTAGCGAGACCTCGCGCACACTCGATTTCGGATCTGACTTCTTCGGTACTTCATCGGCCATAATCTCTGAGAGCTGATCCAGGCCTTCATATCCTTCTGCAATGAAGAACTCGCTCGTCCGTTTCTTGGATCCAGCGAACGGAAAATAGCAAACCACTGGCTCGGGCGAGCGTGACTCAGATTGCAGTGGCAGTACCTGTTCCATCCAATCCAGGGCGGAGCCAGCACTCGGAGTGTGTGTCGGCTTCATTGCAATTGCTAACGCGTCCCCCTCAGTGAAAACTTCGACACGACTCCCAGGCTTCAGATCATGAGCAACATCGCTGTCCAATTCCGACTCTTGTGCAGCTGAGCTGAATGTATAAGGCATCTTACTGCGAACACTGATGTCGATTGGAAACAAGTTCTCAATCACCGCTCGAGGTTCCAAGAAAAGATCGATGTTCATGGTTCTATCGTTGATCAGAGTCCCCTTCAAAAACACCTGCACAACAAATGGATCCATGCTGTCTGTTACTTCACTACTTGATTCACAAACCATATCGAATTTACAAACACGATAGTTGCTTTCGGATTGCGATAGCTCACCAAACGGGGAAGCAATATCAAGACCTCCGCTCAACACTTGAGAACTATCCGACTTCAGTTTGGGAGATAAACGCAGAAATACTGAAGATTGGCCACTATCAGCCCACTCTTTCGAAAAGGTCGTAAGCGAGTCCATTGGGACACTGTAGCGATTTGATTGCTTCGTTGCAATACCGTCTGTAACCGTTAGCGCAGTATTCGCCTTCTCTTCATTATTGGCCACGCATGTTCCGATGCCCTTGGGATCGTCCATCCCAATCGAAATGGCAAAAGGGATCGACGAGTGGTTGACAATGCTCACATTACTCGTCAAATGCAGCACCTGTCACAAAAAGGCAAATTTTCGAAATGGTCGCTGGTAAGTTTCTGAAATAGTTGCAAAGGGTGACAGATACAAAAGCACAGGATACTTACCATTCTCCTGTCTTCTCGAACAACAAATGTTACTAGCACTCTACCATCCGGTAGATTGTGCACCTCTTTCCGAGACCCCAGCATAGCGTCGAGATGAGGAATCACTACTTCAAAATCACCAATCGACAACGCCACCGACTTCTCAAATTCGACATCTTGACCGTACACCCTTCTGCCACCGTGGCCTTTTTCTTGTGGCTGCTGGAACCGGAAGTATTGAATTGATCCAGTTGGACACTCGCGCCGAGAGACACTTCCATGCGGCAACGAAAAAACCACATCAGATCCACAATGGTTTTCAATTGCATATGGAAGAGAAGTTAGTAGGTGCCGTGCTGCGATAGCTGCTGTACTTTTCTTCGTGTTTTCATCTTTCTCGTCGTCAGCGATAAGCGATTTTGATGTTACGGTAGAGTAAACAGACCACATTCGTGCTGCACTGGCAAGACTTGCAAGGAAATCAGGTGACAGTGAAACGTGGCAATCGGAGGTTTCAAGGTCGATTTCCGAACTTAATCTAGGAGACTCGAAGCGGCGGGTTGACGATCTCGTTATCTTTAAAGTCACCTCCCACGGCTTGACAAGAAGACTGCTCCAAAGATTGATTGAGGAATCGAAATAGTCGGCAATGATCGATGTGTTCATATGGAAATCAACAGTCATAATCTGAGTTGCATTTGGCCCGACGGGTACAGCAACTTCGCCAACTACAACAAACTTTGCCACTGAAATACGGGATAAAGGTTCGTCCAATCCTTGAAGGTCGTTGACCACAGTGATCCTAAATTGGGGCATGGTAATCTTCGTTTGGATCTTTTGGGCAATCTTCATTTCCACGTCTGACCGAAGCTGGAAAGGCGCTTCATCGGTGCCAACTTGACTGATAGAGCTACTCTGCATGCTGGGGCTCTTGCTGTCTCTTTGTTCAAGCGCGGAAGACAGCTGTTCGATCCTGTCTGCCTCGTTTGCACTGAGCTCACGAGTTTGAGAATCTTCATTTCTTGTTTCACTGACTTCCAAGGAAGAAGTTAGACTCCCCACAATCACGCCGAGCGTGGCAGCATCGTGCATCGAAAGGAAAAATTCCACATCTCGTGTCGCTGCAGCTCGGAGCTCTACTTCTGTAACCCCATCAGCATTCTTCTGCATCGAAAAATTGAGAGTCACTAGTGTAGGATCGGCAGCCACTCCAATGCAGCAGATCCGAGGAGGATCGTGCGCGTTATGACTTTGCTCGATTCCAAAGTCAAGCTTTGCTGAGATCGGCTCAACGATGTCTGAACCCACGATGGAACCTTCGAAATTGCTTCTTTCTAACCAATCGCTGGCAGTACCAACTTTGAAGCTAAAATCGCTGGTACAGAGCGAACCACTTTCGTACGAAACACCAGCTTGATGATTGACTTTGTTGTCTTGAAACCACTGCTCTACTTCTTTGTTGGCAGAAAACGGTCCGAAGGTAAAATGGAACTGTCCAAGGTCAAGAACCAGAATTTTGGCTCTTGTGTTATTGCAAGCCTCTGGTACCATGATGATGGGAGCGTCAATGTCAACATCCATCGCCCAGGACACCTTTGATTCTGTCTTGACTTTCCATGCATCAACAAGGGCGTTGGATATGTCGTCCACCGATTCGGAAGCCGACTGTAACGATGCCGATTTTACTTTCTTTGTAGTTGTGGTAGGCGTGAGTGTAGCAAAACTGATAAGCTCTTTGAAGAATGTTGGCGACGCGACTGCTTCAAACGCCGCAATGTTCAATTTAAGGCTCTGGTCTCCAGTACTTGACTTGTCAATTTGCAAATGAACTGCACCCTTCTTTTCTTCTGTCGCCACGGCGTCGTCTTTCGGAAGGCTTCGTAATACATCTGGGAATAGACTGTCTGATGTTGCCAGATCATGGATTTTTAGGTCGAGCATATCAAAGTTGAATGCCAAGGCACCATCTGCTCTAGCATCTAAGCCAAGGTCTACTACCCCCATGTTCAGTGCAGCAATTTGTCTCGACTGATAGGAAGTCAGTACGATGTTCAGCGACTTTAGTATAAAGCTTGCATCACACAGCTTGGAATCTTTGGAAAGCTCATCATCCGCAAAGCTTTGTTGTGACATGTCCTCCAACTCTTTCAATTCTTCTGAAGTCAACTGAACCGGTGGGTCGTCATTTTCTTCCTTTCTTTCGCTTGAAAAGACAGCAAACAATCCCTTCTTCTTCCCCTTTTCATTCTTCGTCCGTTTGGATTGTTCGAGGGCGACCTGGCCGTCAGCCAAGTCCCTCCACACCATCAATCCATTGACAGATATGGTTCGATCGTTCTCCATATCGGTCAATACGGAATACTCGCTCACTGACAGTGGCTCGATCCAGGAACATGTTTCGCTGTGCGCATGTCGTTTGTACAGCTGAATGTAGGTCTTTCGTTTCTTAAAAGCACGAAAGAACTCTGCCCATGAGCTTCGTCCGCTCATTCGACCAATACATCGCTTGGCATATTTCCACCATTCGTGTGCATTTTTCGACGAAACTCGGGCAGCTGGTCTGTATTCTGGGAACAACGGGTTTGCTCGGTCCCCCCTCGTGGCTATGCTTTGTGACACTTTGTCGACCACATCGAGCTGATTATGCGAGACTTCGATGGAAACCGTCGACAACTCGCTAGAAAGCTTATATTTCGAATGATCGATACAGACATTGCCGTCTGCCTGACGTAGATTGGCTTGAAATGCAAGCGGCGCTAAGACGTACGCATGAGATTGTGGTTCTCCAGGAATACTTTCGTCCACGTAAACCCCGAATCCTTTGAGTTCCAGTGCCTTGTACAGAAAGATGCTCGAGTTAGAATTCGCAGTGCGGTCAACGAAAGTTCGTTTGCCATCCTTGTCTGTGGTCACTAATGATAGGGACTCGAGCACCACGCCTGCAGACCCCTCTTTTCCTGCAAGAGAAATGTTTACATCGCTGATTTCAACTTGAATATTCTCAATGATTCGTCGTACGAGTCGCGATGCAAAGCTAGACTGGTTGGACGAATCAGATTCCGCTCCCGCCAGTTTCTTTACGGCATTTGCCTGTTCTCGGTAGTCGTTTGAGCTTTTGATGGAGCTCTGTCGTTCTTTTTGAGCATGTGCAATTGAAACGCTCTCGTTTGTCTCTCGGTTGTATGGTTCTACAATGATACTTAGGCCACTCAGCCTTAATATGACAGGACTGCTGGCAAGATGTGACCATGGCACTTCCACATGAAAGGATGTAAATCCTCCTGACACTACCTTGAACGGAAGGGCTAGGTTGGGAGCTTCTTCAGCCTGTCGATCTAGTTCCAAGTTGACGGCATCAACATTGAGTTCCACAGAGTTCAGTGCAATCTTTCCACTCCAAATCGCGACATTTAGGCTTTCTGCATCTAATCCATTGACATATTTACCAATGGTGTATTCCAACACTCGCTGTAATGCCTGTTTTGCCATGGTTATATATTTTGTGATTGCAAGGATGGAACTTAACTCATTCGATTCCTGCGGTAAACGCTCGCCACGACAAGATCTTTTCTTGATGCGCTTATTAGATTTCTGATCGATGAAACAAACATCGCGCCGTGCGTTTCTGATATCCAATTGAACGACTCACTCGAATGGACGTGATGCAAGGAAACTGTAGATCATGCTGTACTGTAGGTACGGCAGACCTGATAGATTTGTTATTCCAGCACCAACCATTTTTATGTTTCTATCTATTATTAATATTTGTCTCAGAATCACTTTCTATTTCCACCTTTCCTCTGTGTCTCTGTTCAGTTCTTGTCAGGTTTCTTTTTGCCAAATTGGAAAAGCCCCTTTCCTACTGTGAGAACACCGTCTGTGGCACCCTTCAAGATTGATCCGGTACCTTTGACTACTCCACCACCGATTTGGCCAGCACCTTTTCCAATGCCATCTACCAAAGTTTTGCCGTCGCCTTTGACAATCCCTTCGCCAATACCTTTGCCCATTTGGAAGGCACCGCCCAACACACCGCCAACGACTTGACCAACACCTTGACCAGCTCCGTGCAGAACTTTTCCAGCTCCGCCACCGACTGTTACGAAATAATCAAAGATTTAGCTTCAGAAAGAAAACGGACGGATCCATCGAGAAATGGTTGGGGTCTTACCTCCAGTCAACGTGTTCCCAACGCCGCCACCAACCCCACTAATCACAGTATTGACCCCGGCTCCAAGTTTTCTGGCACCAACTAGTCCAGTGGCACCCTCAATTCCGTTGCCCAAGGTACGAGTAACATTCGAGACACCATCTCCAAGTCCTCGTCCGACAGTCCCAAGCAATGCCCCTGCGGCCATTCCTGCAATATTTCCAGTTGCCCGCAATTCATCACCTACAAAGTATAAAGACAATCAGATGGCTCCAGATATGAAGAATTGAACCCAGCCAATCAAACTCTTACCTTCCACATATGCATCGTCGCCATCTCTTGCTGCCAAGAACTGCCAGTCTTGTAGACTTGCTGATGATAGCAGTGCTAGAACCTTGAACTTCATACGACCCACATAGACCGCTCCAAGAGACTCCAATAATCGATCAGGCGGACCTTTGATACTCCTATTCTCATATTTTCCGAACTTCAGCTTAGCCTTGTCTATCGAAAACTTCAACTTTCGAGTAAAGTAGTTCGTGAGTGCTGCACCTCTCACATTTCGTGCCATCTCGTATCGAGACTCGTCTGGTGTTCGGCGGAAACTGACAAGTAGCGTAAATGGAGAAACTCGGGCCAGATCCAATTCATATAGCTGGTCGACACGAGGGGGTGTGTACATCACGCGTTCGTCGATTTCGTCGACACCGTCTTTGATCTCGACGACAAACCCTCCGTGATCTCTATCCTCTGTCAGCACCAAACTGTAGTTCCCCACCTCGCTACTTGCTTCGGTAATTCGAGTTATCATGTCTACGATTCTCCAGACATACTCTTCCGAGGTAGTCAGTTGTATCACTTCTGACTTGCCTTTCGAATGAGCCAATGACAAATCGAAAAGGTCAACATTCACAATATCTGCATCCATTGGACCTCGGGTCCGAGCACACACATCAATAAAGTTCGCATCTGATGAACTATCAAATACAATAGGGAAGGGCGAATTTGGTGTCAGGTCCTTCACTTGAAGCTGGTGTATGATCATTGATATTTGGCACCTTTCTGGCGAAGGCAACGCCGATGTTTTGCTTTTTATATCTCCACCTTGTTGCTGCTTGAACACACGCTGGACATCTACGCTGAACTGAGAAAAGTTGACTGACATAACTGAGTCAGACTGCACAGGCTTCGGCCCTTTCTTGCCAGTGTGATTTGGTGACGAAAGGTCCTGGGCGGACAACCCTTCTCCAATTCGTTTTTCTCGACTCTCATTGAGGATTATTTGCAACTTAGCCCAGCGAACACGAAATCGAACGAAGTCATCCGCAAGAAATGCCGGAAGGATGAAAGATGAATTAGCAGCCTTTGCACCCTTTGCACCAGCTGTGATGTCTCCGATCTTCACAACTAGACGGGCATTTCCAGATGAGTCCAATGCAGTTTGGACACATACGCTGCCGACGGGTGTCCCGGCTGTCGAATGAACCAGTTCCATCTTCATCCCCAGTTGGTCAACGCGGACTTTCTTCGTTTTGCATTCTTCTGTGGCGTAGCTCAGCGCAAGTTCCAGGCCTCCCGCTCTGGATACACATTTCAACGGAGCAAAGCTACCAGCTTCAATTCTTATGTCTTCCATTCCTTGTTCCGAAATGATTACAGCTTCCCCGCTTCCGTTAAAGACGACAAACTCGGGGACGATGTGAATTTCAGATTGGTGCTCATTGACAAGTCGTCGATAGGCACAGTACCCGCTGCTTTTCTTATTCTCCCAAAGGATTGGCAATGCATTGACTCCTCCTTCACCAATCACCAAATCGTTCATCGTAAAAGGCTGCAAGACAGTGAGAAAAGACCAAAATGCTACACACAAGTATAGCTACAAAACTTACCAGCGTCGCCTTGTAACCAGCTTGTTTCTCCATCGTCAACTGCAGCAGACGCAGCATCACATTTGATCTTGGGAGCATAGTCAATCGAATGGAATCCTTCCCTGACGAAAATGCACCAAAAGGATGATACTGCTTCCGATCATTCATGCTTTCTACAGACTCAAAGAGGATTTCGCCCGTATGGTCAACACCATAACAGCAAACCGTTACGTGGAATGATCTCAATGGGTCCTCTAGTGAAACCTTTCGCACGCTCGATTTCGAACCTGACTCCTTCGGTACTTCATCGGCCATAACCTCTGAGAGTTGATCCAGGCCTTCATATCCTTCTGCAATGAAGAACTCACTGTTCCGTTTCTTGGATCCAGCGAACGGAAAATGACACGCCACTGCTTCAGACAAGCGGAAATCAGATTTTAGTGGTAGATCCAAATCTATCCACTCCAGGGTGGAACCAGCACTCGCAGTGTCTGTCGGCTTCATTGCAATTGCTATAGAGTCCCCCTTGGTGAAAACTTCGACACGGTTCATAGGCTTCAAATCGTGTTCACCAGCACCCGACTCTTGTGCAGCTGTGCTGAATGTATAAGGCATCTTAGTGCGAAGACTGATGTCGATTGGAAACAAGTTCTCAATCACGGCTCGAGGTTCCAGAAAGACGTCGATGTTAATGCTTTTATCATCAATCAGAGTCCCTTTGACCAATACTTGCACAACAAATGGATCAATGTTGCCTGAACCGCCATTAGTCACTTGGCAAAACACATCTACTCTCCAAACCTTTCCGGAGTGTGATAGCTCACCAAACTGGGAAGCAATATCAAGAAGTCCACTTAATACTACCGAAGTGTCCGATTTCAGATTGGGAGAAAGACGAAGAAACAACGAAGATTGGCTAGTATCAGCCCATTCTTTCGAAAAGGTGGTAAGGAAATCCATTGGGACACTGCATCGATTTGATTGCTCTGATGCAACCCCATCAATAGCCGTCAAAGCAGTAATCGTCTTCTGTTCATTATGCGCGACGCAGGTTCCAATGCTCTGAGGGTCTATCATCCCAACCGAAATGGCAAAAGGGATGGACGAGTGGTTGAAAACGCTCACATTACTTGTCAAATGCAGTACCTGGTACCAGCGACATCAGTTTCCGAAATGGTTTGCATTAGACAACCTGCACAAGTGAATGGGGCTTACCGTTGTCTTGTCTTCCCTGATAACATATGTAACCAACACTCTACCATCCGACAGGTTGTGTACCTCTTTACGAGATCCCAGCATGCCGTCAAGATGAGGAATCACTATTTCACAATCACCAATCGACAACGTCACCGACTTCTCAAACTCGACATCTTGACCGTACACCCTTCTGCCACCATGCCCTCTTCCTTGTGGAGGCTGGAACCGGAAGTACTTTATTGATCCAGTTGGACACTCCCGTTGTTTGATCCTTCCGTGCGGCAACGAGAAGATCACATCACATCCACAATGGTTCTCAATTGCGTATGGAAGAGATGTCAGCAAGTTTCGTGCTGCGCTTGCCACCATACTCGCCTTCGCGTTTTCATCGTTCGTGTCATCTTTCGGGCCGCCGGCGATTGGCGATTTTGATGTTGCGACAGAATAGACAGACCACATTCGTTGTGCACTAGCAAGACTCACAAGGAACTCCGGTGACAATGAAAGGTGGCAAGGAAAGCTCTCAAGATCGATTGTGGAACTTAACCTGGGAGACTTGAAGCGACGGGTTGATGCTCTCGATGCCTTTAGACTCACCTCCCACGGCTCGATAAGAAGGCTGCTCCACAGGTTAATGGACGAATCAAAATAGTCGGCAAGAATCGATGTGCTCATACGGAAATCAACAGACATATTCTGCATCGGATTTGGTCCGATCGGAAAAGCAACCTCGCCAACGGCAACAAATTTTGCCACTGAGACACGGAACAAAGCTTCGTCCAAGCCTAGCAAGTCGTTGACAACAGTGACTCTAAACTGGGGCATCGTAATCTTCGTTTGGATCTTTTGAGCAATCTTTACTTCTACGTCCGGCTGAAGCTGGAATGGCGCTTCATCGGTGCTCACACTAGAGTTGCTCTGATGCTGGGTCGGTTTCTTGTTGTCTTTTTGATCAAGCACAGAAGACAGCTGCTCGATCCTCTCTGTCTCGATGGCGCTCAGCTCTTGAATTTGCGATTTACCATTTCTCGTCTCCTTGGCTTCAAAGGAAGAGCTTAGACTTTCGATGATCGAGCTCAACATGGCAGCATTGTGCATTGAAAGGAAAACTTCCAAGTCGGTTGTCGCTGCAACTCGGAGCTCTATTTCTGTACTTTCATCAGCATTCTTGTGCATTGAAACATGCAGCGAGCTTTGTGTAGGCGCGAGAATCTGCATGGGACTAAGCATTTCTTTGCCCAAAGCACTAAAGATCTGCATCGCTTCGGCTTGCCCTTGCACTCCAGCATTGATCATCTCGCTGTTCTCCGGGTCGGCGTCCATTGTCACCGTCACATCAAAAATACCCTGCAGAACAACAGTTTCTGCCAGCTTGCTGGGTTGCCTAGCCTCCGTTTCTCTCGCACTGGATAATTCACTACCCAGATCGACCAAAACAATACTACACACTTGAGTTTTCACAGCGTAAGTCTGTCTGCGGGTCCGATACGACACAGTCCCGTCTACCACTTCAATATTCCCTGCTTCATTGACGCAAATCGACTCTGTACCATCCACGTTATCCTTTTTGCCATTTTCGTCATCCAGCTTTGTCAAGGATGGACTTGGCTCATATTTTATCCCGTCTAACACTTCAATATTCCCTGCTTCGTTGACGCAAAGCGACTCCTTCATGCTGTCCACGCTTTCTTTCCTATCGTGTTCGTCTTCTAGCTCTGCCGAGGATGGACTTGGGCCCTGCTTCTTTTGATCTTCTACTCGAAAGAAAGTCACAAGCTCTGACACTGCATCAGGAATCAGAATAATTTGAGGGGACCCAATTACAAGTTCTGCACGAGTAGAGTCGAGTTCAGCTACGTAATCAATGACAAACAAGTGACTATCACTGCCACTTGTTGCGCTGGTTCCGGTCCCTTGGCCGATTATACGACGGTATTGTCTGTGCGATGACTCTGGTCGAACATCTTCAACCGTAATGCTCTTCAGTGTCACATGACAACTCAACTCATTTTGACCGGAAATAACATTGATATTCCCATCGAGAACCGCCAAAACAAAGAGTGGAAGGTCGTCACGAGGAGATCGAAGACAAATATCAAAACTCTCCGCCTTGAGCTTGATGAGTAGCTTCCCTTCAACTGTACTGTCACCTTCTTCTTTCGCATCGGCGGATGGACTACTGATGTTCTGAGACACTACCTCGACAACAGTTTCGCGATCGATAGTTTCATCGCCATCCACTATGCTGCGAAAGCTATCAATCATGGACAAGACCCCTTCCAGACCCTTCGGGTTCCAGTGAATGAACAAACTACAAAATTTCATATCCAGCAGCTGGTCAACCCTGGTCTCCATTCTTGATTTCCCATATTCTGAAACCAATTGATCATACGAGATATCTGCCAAATCTGTCGATCCGGCGTAGTCCTCTTCAAATACGCCCTGCTCCACCAGATGTCCCAGCATGTCATACTTGTCTCCCTCTGCAAACGAACTTGGATCCTTCGTCAGCTTCGAATGTGCAAGCAGTCTTTGCTTCCGTCTGATGTCACTTTCCAGCAAATCAAGAACCCAAAACCAACCCATTTGAAGACTAGTTGAAGAGCTTCCGTTTGATCGCACCACTGTTGAAGCGTATACTGAGACCAGATGAGCTTCCAACCTGTTGTTCTCGTCCAATGACAAAGTTGTGGATAAGCGCTGGAGCCCAACTTTGAAGAAAAACGTAGCAAGGTACTCTTCGTCTGTTTTTGACTGGTCTTCTAATGACGGAACTTGTACTGTATCGCCCTGTTCTGGTTCTACTTTTGCTATTGATTGTGTTTGGAACCCACCATCCGCCGCCACTGGGACTGAAGAACCAGCCTCAATGGGTAGAGCAGCTTCCGACTTAGAGTTCATTTCATTCGCAAAATCTAACCACGCTTTGACAACAGGAAATAGTTTCTTTCCTTGCATCGGAGAGAAGCGAAAACTGATGAAAGGAACCACACCAATGCAGCAGATCCGAGGCGGGTCAATAGCATTATGGCTTTGTTCTATTCCAAAGTCAAGCTTCACCGATATCGGCTCAATGATGTTCGAACCCGAGTTGAAACCTTTGAAATTGCTTCTTTCTAACCAATCGCTGGCAGTACCAACTTTGAAGCAAAAATCACTGGTGCCCAGGAAACCATGTTCATATGAAACGTCAACTTTGTGATCAGCTTTGTTGTCTTGAAACCACTGCTCTACTTGTTTGTTCGGAGAAAACTGTCCGAAGGTAAGGTGGAAGTGACCAAGGTCAAGAACCAGAATCCTGGCTTTTGTATTATTGCAAGCCTCTGGGACCATGATGATGGGAGCGTCAATATCAACATCCATCGCCCAGGATATCTTTGTTTCGGTCTTAGCTTTCCATGCATCAACAAGGGCGTTGGAAATATCGTCCACCGAACCTGATGCCGACTGCAACGATGCCGATTTTACTTGTTCTGTAGTAGCTGCAGGCGTGAGTGTAGCGAACTTGATAAGCTCTTTGAAGAATGTTGGCGACGCGACTGCTTCAAACGCCGCAATGTTCAATTTAAGGCTCTGGTCTCCAGTACTTGACTTGTCAATTTGCAAATGAACTGCACCCTTCTTTTCTTCTGTCGTCACGAGGTTGTCTTTCGGAAGGCTTCGCAACACATTTGGAAAGAGGCTGACTGCTGTTGCCAGATCTTGGATTTTCAAATTATACATATCAAAGTTGAATGCAAACGCACCGTCCGCCCTGGCATTGAAGCCCAGGTCAACTTCTCCCATTTGTAATGCAGCAATTTGTCTCGACTGATAGGAAGTCAGTACGATGTTCAGCGACTTTAGTATAAAGCTTGCATCACACAGCCTAGAATCTTTGGAGAGCTCGTCATCCAAAAACCCCTGCTGCGACATGTCCTCCAACTCTTTCAATTCTTCTATCGTCAATTGCAAAGGCGCGTCATTATTGTCTTCGTTTCTTTCGCTTGAAAAGACAGCAAACAATCCCTTCTTCTTCCCCTTTTCATTCTTCGTCCGTTTGGATCGTTCCAGATCGACCTGGCCGTCAGCCAAGTCCCTCCACACCATCAATCCATTGACAGATATGGTTCGATCGTTCTCCATATCGGTCAATACGGAATACTCGCTCACTGACAGTGGCTCGATCCAGGAACATGTTTCGCTGTGCGCATGTCGTTTGTACAGCTGAATGTAGGTCTTTCGTTTCTTAAAAGCACGAAAGAACTCTGCCCATGAGCTTCGTCCGCTCATTCGACCAATACATCGCTTGGCATATTTCCACCATTCGTGTGCATTTTTCGACGAAACTCGAGCAGCTGGTCTGTATTCTGGGAACAACGGGTTTGCTCGGTTCCCCCTCGTGGCTATGCTTTGTGACACTTTGTCGACCACATCGAGCTGATTATGCGAGACTTCGATGGAAACCGTCGACAATTCGCTAGAAAGATGATACTTTGAGTGATCGATACAGATATTGCCGTCTGCCTGACGTAGATTGGCTTGAAAGGAAAGTGGTGATATTATGTATGAGTGAGGTTGTGGTTCTCCAGGAATACTTTCGTCCACGTAAACCCCGAATCCTTTGAGCTCCAGTGCCTTGTGCAGAAAGAGGTTCTCTGCATTCGAAGTAATGGTGCGGTCGACAAAGGTTCGTTTGCCATCCTTGTCTGTGGTCACTAATGATAGGGACTCGAGCACCACGCCTGCAGATCCTTCTTTACCTGCAAGAGAAATGTGGACATCGCTGATTTCAACTTGAATATTCTCAATGATTCGTCTTACGAGTCGCGATACAAAGCTACCGCTAGACTGATTGGACGAATCAGATTCCGCCTCCGCCAGTTTCTTGACAGCATTTGCTTGTTCTCGGTAGTCGTTTGAGCTTTTGATGGAGCTCTGTCGTTCTTTTTGAGCATGTGCAATTGAAACGCTCTCGTTTCGAGCTTGTGAATCTCGGTTGTATGGTTCTACAATGATACTTAGGCCACTCAGCCGTAATATGACAGGACTGCTGGCAAGATGTGACCATGGCACTTCCACATGAAAGGATTCGAATCCTCCTGACACTACCTTGAACGGAAGGGCCAGGTTAGGGGCCTCTTCCGCCTGCCGATCTAGTTCCAGGTTGACGGCATCAACATTGAGTTCCACAGAGTTCAGTGCAATCTTGCCACTCCAAATGGCAACATTGAGACTTTCTGCTTCTAATCCCTTTACATATTTGCCAATAGTGTCTTCCAGCACTTGCTGTAATGCCTTTTTTGCCATGGCTATTATATGAGTGGGAGGACGGAACTTCACCTCTTCTGATTAGTGAGGTAAACGCTCTCCTTGCTACAGTATGGAACAATAATGAGATCTTTGTTGATAATCCAGGATTGAACCACACGTGATGGGACGTGACGGTTGGACGATTCCAGGTCTCAGAAAACCCGTTTTGCGGGATTCCTGAGATCAGATCTCCCGGGTCTTTTACAGTAAGACCCGGAACAAGTACGGATGGCTCCGGTTTTCGAGTTTGGCTTTGTTATTACCACACCTTGTCGTCATGACCAACCTTACCATCCATTGAAATATAAGGAAACACAATAGTTGCTCTGAATGATGGGGAATTAGATTGACTAAAGGCAATGACTACACGAGGTGATGGAAAACATACGATGGTAGAAGCTGCTTGCCCAGGAGGAGTCTTGTCAAAGTAGTCTTCCCTTTGATATGGCAAGAAGCCTCTCAACGAATCCAATATCCATTATACGTCGTCTCTTCACCGTTGAAATAATTCACAATCTCGAATAGCTGCACCCTAGTCCTTGTCGATTTTTATCTCGTGCCAGCGTGGAATATGTGACACCAAACCCCGAAAGCATCCTCCTTTATACGCTACTACCTGAGCGCCACCTTGAAACTTAGAATCAAGGAGTCCAGATAGGTTTTTTTCTCATTTCAAACTGACTGACTCATCATTGCACGAATTGCATGTTTGAAATGCAATTTGCCATGAATACAGAGCACCGGCACTGTATTTTGTTGACTTTTATTGAATTACCACGAAGACACCGGTAGAAAACTGTGACCCATCATTTCCAAGCAATGAATGTTTTTATGTTTCTATCTATTTTCTAAAAAAGTATATTTCTAGTTTTCCGATGAATCACTGGCAACCAATTTTTGCCCTCATTACTTGTCGTGTTTCTTTTTACCAATGACACCTTGATGTAGCTTCGTCGATTGCTCGTTGGGTTTATTTTTGCCGCCACTCTAGCATCTACTGGTACTTGTGGCTTCGTCATTATCTTGTCTGGTTTCGTTTTGCCATCGCTGGGACTTTTAGATGTGGCTTCTTCCATTTCTTGTCAGGTTTCTTGCTGTCGTCACTGGCATTTACTTGTTGCTCCGTCATTTTCTCGTCATGGTTCTTTTTGTCATCACTAGCATCTACATGTTTCTTCCTCGATTTCTTGCCAGGGCTCTTTTTGCCAACTTGAAAGACCCCCTTTCCTGTTGTAATAACACCGTCTGTGGCGCCCTTTAAGATTGATCCGGTACCTTTGACTACCCCACCACCAATTTGGCCTGCACCTTTTCCAATGCTATTCACCAAACCTTTGCCATCGCCCTTAACAATTCCGACACCAATACCTTTGCCCATTTGGAAGGCACCACCCAAGACACCACCAACGACTTGACCAACGCCCTGTCCAGCTCCCTGCAGAACTTTTCCAGCTCCACCACTAACTATAATATTCATAATGTTAGCTGTGAGTGCAGAAGAAAATATCCATCAAAACGTGAATGCGATGCTTACCACCAGTCAATGTGTTTCCGACGCCGCCTCCAACGCCGCTTATCACAGTATTAACCCCAGCTCCGAGTTTCCTGGCACCAACTAGTCCAGTGGCACCCTCAATTCCGTTGCCCAGGGTACGAGTAACGTTCGAGACACCACTTCCGAGCCCTCGCCCGATAGTTCCAAGAAATGCCCCTGCGGCCATCCCTGCAATATTTCCAGTTGCCCGCAATTCATCACCTGCAAACAAATAAACAAGCAAGCAAACAAACCAATCAATCAGCTAGCTCCATATTGAATGAAGTAAATCAAAGCAACCAAGCTCTCACCATCCACATATTCATCGTCGCCCCCTCTTGCTGCCAAAAACTTCCAGTCTTGCAGACTAGCTGATGATAGCAGTGTCAGCACCTTGAACTTCATACGACCCACATAGACCGCTCCAAGAGACTCCAATATTCGATCCGTTGGACCTTTGAGAGTCCTGTTCTCATATTTTCCGAACTTCAGCTTGGCCCTGTCTATCGAAAACTTCAACTTTCGAGTAAAGTAGTTTGTAAGTGCAGCACCCCTCACGTTTCGGGCCATTGCGTAGCGAGACTCGTCTGGTGTACGGTTGAAACTGACGAGTAGCACAAAAGGAGAAACTCGGGCCAAATCGACATTAAATAGCTGGTCGACATAAGGAGCTGCATACAATACGGTGTCATCGCTTTCGTTGACGCCGTCTTTGATCTCGACGATGTACCCTCCGTGATCTACATCCTCTTTCAACACCAAACTGTAGTCCCCCACCTCGCTACTTGCTTCGGAAATTCGAGTCATCATGTCAACGATTCTCCAGACAAACTCTTCTGATGTAGTGAGTTGTATCATTTCCGATTTGCCCTTTGTATGAGCCAATGACAAATCGAAAAGGTCAACATTCACAATATCTCCATCCATTGGACCTCGGGTCCTTGCAGACAGACCAATAAAGTTCGCATCTGATGAACTATCAAATACAATAGGGAATAAGGAATTTGGTGTCAGATCCTTCACTTGAAGCTGGTGTATGCTCATGGACATTTGACACCTTTCTGGAGAAGGCATCGACGATGCTTCGATTTTGTGGTCTCCATCTTCTTGTTTCTTGAACACACGCTGAACGTCTACACTGAACCGTGAAATGTTGACTGACATCACTGAATCAGACTCTACACTCTTCGGTCCTTTTGTATCAGTGCGAGGTGATGACGAAAGACCTTGGGCGGGCAATCCTTCTGCTCTTTGTTTCTCACGACTCTTGTTAAGCACTAGTTGCAGCTCACTCCAGCGTACACGGAATCGGATGAAATCATCAGCAAGAAATGCGGGAAGGATTGATGGTGCATTAGCCATCTTTGCACCAGCTGTGATCTCTCCGATCTTCACAACTAAACGGGCGTTTCCATATGTATCCAACGCAGTTTGGACACATACGCTGCCAACCGGCGTCCCAACTGTCGATTGGACAAGTTCCACCTTCACCCCCAGTTGATCAACACGGATGTACCTCGTTTTACACTCTTCGTTTACGTAGTTCAGCGCAAGTTCCAGGCCTACCGTTCTGGATACACATTTCAACGGAACAAAGCTACCAGCATCAACTGTCACGTCATCCATTCCTCGTTCCGAAACGATTACAGATTCCGCGCTTCCGTTGAAGACGACAAACTCGGGGACGATGTGAACTTCAGATTGATGCTCGTTTACAAGTCGTCGATAGGCACAGTACCCGCTGCTTTTCTTATTCTCCCAAAGGATTGGCAACGCATTGAGTCCTCCTTCACCAATCACCAAATCGTCCATCGTAAAAGGCTGCAACAAAAGTGAGAAAAAACACGACCACCATACTCTTAACAATGAGAGCTGAACACGTACCAGTGTCGCCTTGTATCCCGCCTCTGACGACGACGATACCCGCAGCAGGCGCAGCATGGCATTTGATCTTGGGAGCATAGTCAATCGAATGGAATCCTTCCCTGACGGAAATGCACCAAACGGATGGTACTGCTTCTGCTTCTGTTTCTGCTCTTTTTTGCTCTCTAACAACTCAAAGAGGATTTCGCCCGTATGGTCGACACCGTAACAACACACCGTAACGTGGAATAATCTCAATGGGTCCTCTAGTGAAACAGTCCGCAAACTCGATTTCGAACCTAACTTCTTCGGAGCTTCGTCGGCCATAACCTCTGAGAGCTGATCCAGGCCTTCATATCCTTCTGCAATGAAGAACTCACTGTTCCGTTTCTTGGATTCAGCAAACCGAAAAAGGCAAGACATCGGTTCCGCCAAGCGGAACTCAGATTTTAGTGGTAGTTCCAAATCCATCCACTCTAGGGAGGAGCCAGCACTCGGTTTGTGTGTTGGCTTGATTGCAATTGCCAACGCGTCCCCCCTGGTGAAAACTTCGACACGATTCCCAGGCTTCAAACGGTGATCACCATCATTGGAATCTCTTGCACTCAGGCTAAATGTATGGGGCATCTTACTGCGAATGCTTATGTCGATTGGAAACAAGTTCTCAATCACGGCTCGAGGTTCCAGGAAGACGTCGATATTCATGGTTTTGTCATCAATCAGAGTCCCCTTCAACAACACTTGCACAACAAATGGGTCCATGCTTTTTGAACCTCCAGAATTGGCGTAACAAGTCAAATCGACTCTACAAACCCTTCCTGATTTCGATAGCTTACGAAATTGGGAAGCAACATCAAGACCACCACTCAAGACTTGAGTAGTGTCCGATTTCAGATTAGGAGAAAGACGAAGAAAGACTGGAGAGTGGCCACTATTGAGCAAGTTCATTGGGACACTGAATCGATTTGATGGCTCTGTTGCAACGCCGTTAATCTCCGTTAAAGCAGTATTCTCCTTCTCTTCATTGTGCGCGATGCAGGTTCCAATGCTCTTGGGATCTATCATCCCAACCGAAATGGCAAAAGGGATCGACGAGTGGTTGACAACGCTCACATTACTTGTCAAATGCAGTACCTGGTACAAGCAATGTCAGCTTCCCATATCGTGGCAGAAAGCGACCGAAACGAGAACAGGGTGCTTACCATTGTCTTGTCTTCCCTGATAACATATGTAACCAACACTCTACCATCCGACAGGTTGTGCACATCTTTCCGAGCCCCGAGCATGCCGTCAAGATGAGGAATCACTATTTCACGATCACCAATTGACAACGTCACCGACTTCTCAAACTCGACGTCTTGACCGTATGCCCTTCTGCCGCCATGCCCTCTTCCCTGTGGAGGCTGGAACCGGAAGTACTTTATTGATCCAGTTGGACACTCCCGTTGTTTGATCCTTCCATGCGGCAACGAGAAAATCACATCACATCCACAATGGTTCTCGATTGCGTATGGAAGAGATGTCAGCAAGTTTCGTGCTGCACTTGCCGCCATACTTGCCTTCGCGTTTTCATCGTTCGTGTTACGCTTCTCGCTGTCAGTGATAGGTGACTTTGATGTTGCAATCGAATAAACAGACCACATTCGTGTCGCACTCGCAAGACTCACAAGGAACTCCGGTGACAATGAGAGATGGCAAGGGAAGCTCTCAAGATCGATTGTGGAACTTAACCTGGGAGACTTGAAGCGGCGGGTTGATGCTCTCGATAGCTTTAGACTCACCTCCCACGGCTTGATAAGCAGGCTGCTCCACAGATTGATGGACGAATCAAAATAGTCGGCAAGAATCGATGTGCTCATCTGAAAATCAACAACCATATTCTGCATTGCATTCGGTCCGATGGGAACAGATACTTCGCCATGGGCAACAAACTTTGCCACTGAGACACGGAACAAAGCTTCGTCCAAGCCTAGCAAGTCGTTGACAACAGTGACTCTAAACTGGGGCATCGTAATCTTCGTTTGGATCTTTTGAGCAATCTTCATTTCCACGTTTGACTGAAGCTGAAATGGCGCCGATTCATCGATGCCCACTGCACTGACAGAGCGACTATGACTTCGAATTGGTCCGTTGCTGTCTGTTTGATCAAGCACAGAAGACAGCTGCTCTATCCATTCTGTCTCGTTGGCGCTCAGTTCTTGAATTTGAGATTCGTCAATATTCGTCTCGTTGACTTCAAAGGAAGAGCTTAGACTTTCGACAATCGCGCTCAACATGGCAGCCTGGTGCATTGAAAGGAAAACCTCCAAATCAGTGATCGCTGCAGCTCGGAGCTCTATGGCTGTACTTTCATCAGCATTCGTGCGCATAGAAATATACACCGAGCCTTGTGTCGGCGCGAGAATCTGCATTGGACTGAGCATTTCTTTGCCCAAAGCACTAAAGATCTGCATAGCTTCGGCTTGCATTTGCACTTCAGCATTGATAGTCTCGAATGTCTCCGGATCGGTGTCCATTGCCACCGTCACATCAAAAATTCCCCGTAGAACAACAGTTTCTGCCATGTGACTGGGTTGCGTAGCATTCGTCTTTCTTTCACTGGATAATTCACTGCCCAGATCGACCAGAACAATACTACACACTTGAGTTTTCACAGCGTAAGTATATCTGTATGTCCTATCGGACGCAGTCCCGTCTGGCACTTCAATATCCCCTGCTTCGTTGGAGACAATCGACTCCGTGCCATCGACGTTATCCTTTTTGCCGTTTTCGTCATCCAGCCCCGCCAAGGATGAATTTGGACCCTGTTTCATGCCATCTTCTACTTGAAAGAAAGTCACAAGTTCTGAAACAGCATCAGGAATCAGAATAATCTGAGGGGACCCAATGACAAGTCCTGTACGAGTAAAGTCAAGTCCAGCTGTGTAATCGATTACAAACAAGTGAGCGTCACCACTACTTGTTGCGCTAGTTCCGGTCTCTTGGTCGATAATACGACGATACTGTCTATGCGATGCCTCTGGTCGAACATCTTCGGCTGTCATACTCTTCAGTGTCACATGGCAACTCAACTCATTTTGATCGGAAATCAAGCTCATGTCCCCATCGGTAGCCTCCAAGGTAAAGAGGGGAAGATCGTCACGAGGAGATCGAAGACAGATATCAAGACTCTCCGCCTTGAGCTTGATGAGTAGCTTCCCTTCAGTTGCACTGTCGCCTTCTTCTTTCGCATCGTCAGAGGGACTACTAATGTTCTGCGATAATGCCTCGACAACTGTTTCGTGATTGATAGTATCATTGTCACCCAGTATGCTGCGAAAGCTCTCAATCATGGACAAGACCCCTTCCAGACCCTTCGGGTTCCAGTGAATGAACAAACTACAAAATTTCATATCCAGCAGCTGGTCAACCCTGGTCTCCATTCTTGATTTCCCATATTCTGAAACCAATTGATCATACGAGATATCCGCCAAATCTGTCGATCCGGCGTAGTCCTCTTCAAATACGCCCTGCTCCACCAGATGTCCCAGTATGTCATACTTGTCTCCCTCTGCAAACGAGCTTGGATCCTTCGTCAGAACCGAATGCGCAAGCAGTCTTTGCTTGCGTTTGATGTCACTTTCCAGCAAATCAAGCACCCAAAACCAACCCATTTGAAGACTGGTTGAAGAGCTTCCATTAGATCGCACCACTGTTGTGGCGTATACTGAGACTAGATGAGCTTCCAACCTGTTGTTCTCGTCCAATGACAGAGTTGTGGATAGGCGCTGGAGCCTAATTTTGAAGAAAACCGTAGCAAGATACTCTTCGTCTGTTTTTGACTGGTCTTCTAATGACTGGTCATGTATTGCAGTGCCTGATTCTGTTTTTGATATTGATTGTGTTTCGAGCCCATCGTCTGCTGTAGGATGTGGCGCACTCGTGAGTAGAGGACCTTCCAACTCGGAATTTATTTCATTCGAAAAATTGCCCCATGCTTTGACAACAGGAAATAGTTTTTTCCCTTGAGTCGGCGAAAAACGAAAGCTAACAGAAGGAACCACACCAATGAAGCAGATCCGAGGCGGGTCAAGAGCATTGTGACTTTGCTCGATTCCAAAGTCAAGCTTTGCCGATATCGGCTCAATTATGGTGCAGAGCGAACCACTTTCGTACAAGACACCAGATTGATGCTCAGCTTTGGTATCTTGAATCCACGGCTTTACTTTGGTGGCGGGAGTAAACCTTCCATAGTGCAGCTGCCTTTGACCCAGATCGAGTACTGTAACATTCGCCCTTCTGAAAGTCTGCATAGGACTGAGCATTGCTCTGCCAATCACGCCAATGCAGCAGATCTGTGGCGGGTCGAGAGCATGGTGACTTTGTTCGATATCAAAGTCGTCGACAGTTTCCGATATCGGTTCAATAATGAATGACCCGGAGCTAGCACCTGCGAAACTGCTTTCTTCTAACCAATCGCTGGCAGTGCCAACTTTCAAACTAAAATCGCTGGTACAGAGGAAACCACTTTCGTACGAAACGTCAGCTTTGTGGTCAGCTTTGTTATCTTGAAACCACTGCTGTACTTGTTTGGTAGGAGAAAACTTTCCAAAGTTAAGGTGGAACTGACCAAGGTCAAGAACCACAATGTTGGCACTTCTGTCATCGCAAGTCTCTGGAACAATGATGATTGGAGCATCGATATCTACATCCATCGCCCAGGACACCTTTGATTCTGTCTTGGCTGCCCATGCATCAACAAGGGCGTTGGAAAAGTCGTCCACCGATTCTGATGCCAGCTTCAACGATGTCGAATCCACCCGTTCTGTAGTAGTGGAAGACGTTGGTGTGACGAAAATCATCAGCTCTTTGAAGAATGTTGGCGACGCGACTGCTTCGAACGCTGCAATAATTAACTGAAGACTCTGGTCTCCGGTCTTTGACTTGGCAATTTGCAAATGAACTGCACCATTCTTTTCTTCTATCGCCATGGCATCGTCTTTCGGAAGGCTCCGTAACACATCTGGGAAAAGACTGTCTGATGTTGCCAGGTCTTGAATTTTTAGGTCAAGCATATCAAAGTTGAATGCAAACGCACCATCTGCTCTCGCATTGAATCCAAGGTCAACTTCTCCCATGTTTAATGCAGCAATTTGCCTCGATTGATATGAAGTCAGTACAACGTTCAACGACTTGAGTATGAAGCTTGCATCACACAGCCTAGAATCTTTGGAAAGCTCATCATCTGCGAAGCCCTCCTGCCACATGTCTTCCAAATCCTTTAGCTCTTCTATCGTCAATTTCACGGGCGAGTCACCATTGTCTTCCTGTCTTTTGCTGGAAAACAAAACCCCCTTCTTCCTTTTCCCTTTTTCCTTCTTTGTCTGCTTGGACTGTTCCAGATCGACCTGGCCGTCAGCCAAGTCCCTCCAAAACATCAATCCATTGACGGATATGGTTCGATCGTTCTCAATCTCGGTCATTTCTGACTTTTCATTCTCTGATAGGGGTTCGATCCAGGAACACCTCCCGCTGTGAATATGTCGTTTGTATAGCCGAATGTAGGTTTTTCGTTTCTTAAAAGCAAGAAAGAACTCTGCCCATGAGCTTCTTCCGCTCATTCGACCAATACATCGCTTGGCATATTTCCACCATTCGTGGGCATTTTCCGATGAAACGCGAGCAATGGGTCTGTATTCTGGGAACAACGGGTTTGCCCCAATCTCTTGCATGGCCATTCCTTGTGACACCTTCTCCACCACGTCAAGCTGATTGCGAGAGACTTCAATAGAAATCGTCGACAATTCGCTGGAAAGCTGATATTTCGAGTGATCGACACAGATATTACCGTCTGCCTGACGCAGATTGGCTTGAAATGCAAGCGGCGCTAAAATGTATGAATGAGATTGTGGTTCTCCGTGAATGCTTTCGTCGACGTAAACACCAAATCCTTTGAGTTCCAGTGCCTTATGCAGAAAGATACTCGAGTTATAACTCGCAGTACGGTCGACAAAGGTTCGTTTGCCACTCTTGTCAGTGGTCACTAGTGCTAAGGACTCGAGCACGACGCCAGCAGATCCCTCTTTACCTGCAAGAGAAATGTGGACATCACTGATCTCGACTTGGATATTCTCAATTATTCGTCGTACAAGTCGCGATACAAACGTAGACTGACTGGATGCATCAGAGTCTGCCCCCGCTAGTTTTTTTACGTTATTCGCTTGTTCTCGGTACTCGTTTGCGCTTTTCACGGAACGCTGCCGTTGTTTTGTAGCTTGTGCCACTGAAACGTTCTTATTTCCAGCTTGCGTATCTCGTTTGTAAGGTTCGACAATGATACTTAGGCCACTCAGCCTTAATATGACAGGACTGCTGGCAAGATGTGACCATGGCACTTCCACATGAAAGGATGTAAATCCTCCCGACACTACCTTGAACGGAAGGGCAAGGTTCGGAGCTTCTTCAGCCTGTCGATCTAGTTCCAAGTTGACGGCATCAACATTGAGTTCCACAGAATTCAGTGCAATCTTTCCACTCCAAATCGCAACATTTAGGCTTTCTGCATCTAGTCCCCTCACATATTTACCAATAGTGTCTTCCAGCACTCGCTGTAATGCCTGTTTTGCCATGGTAATGAGTGAGAGGACTGAGGTTGACCTCTGTCGAGTGCGGTAAACGCTCTTGACACCTGATAATTCTTCATTTTTTTGACAACCGCATCACTGTTCGATATAATATCTGATCATGACGTCAATGCATCTGGAATTAATCGGGTGAGTCAGTCCATCGACAGCAGAAGATCCAACATAACAAAAATCGGAAGTCATCTGAACCTTCCAACTCAATCCAACCGCACATCAGTCAATTGCCAACCTTATCTAGCATAAATAAAGTTAACAAGACTCACGGTTTTGTGCGACTTCAACGGGGGTATACAGCGCGATCATTCCGTCGGTTGAGAGAGAGAGAGAGAGAGAGAGAAAGTCGCGTCTAACAGAGACCAATACAAGTGACAGAACGTCCATATCATTTCCTCGACACTGCTGTAAAATGTCACGACAGCAAGATAACGAATCTTCGATACCTCATGCTCCTTATCCGCCTCAATTTGAAAGCTCGATAAAGTCTGCCTCAATAGCTAGTCCAAATTACAAATCCAGAAGTGCATATCCAGGCATAGAAAGATCAGCAGCAGCTGGTGGATATGAGAATGCTTCAAGGGCTGGCGACGATCTTTCTCCCGCTGGAACTTCTGCAGCTGAAAAGGGAAAAGCGGATCGCCATATTCCAGCCCGAATTAAATTCTACCATAAACCCGCAGATGTTGTTGCGTGCATCAACTGCAAGCCGTCAAAGCATAATGGTGCCAAAAGAACTGTGTCCATTGAAAAGACAAAGTCGCGGAAGGCACCACTGTTGCTGGAGCTACGGCAGCTCCAACCTATGGAAGACTATACAGATGATGCAGCTACATTGTTTGGTACTAGATTATGTGGTACTTCCAGAGGCAATCCTTCTCTTGGATCAAATGTCGTATCCACCTGTTTGGATCTTCCACTTAGTATCAATCATAGTCAGTCGCGATTCACAGCTGCCACCGGTTCATCAACTGGAATGCTGTGCATTCATTCGATCTTTGCAGATTCGGATATGACTTCCTCTATTGAGTACTTTCATATTCCCAGGTATGTTTCTTCTCAATCTATGAAAACCAAGCTCTTGGAATCGATGACACTGACAGTTCTTCCACAAACAGACGACAGGCTACGGCAACATCCGTGGCATGGTCACCAACTCAGTCAAATGCAGTTGCGATTGGGTTGCTGGGGAACTCCCCTTCTTTGTCTCAAGTGCAACCGCATCGCCGTGGCGCTGGTGCAACGCGGACATCTGGAGGAGACCGTGATTGGGGTTGCATCATTTGGGATGTTGAGAAGCAACAGTCTACTGCAAGAAGCCGCAACCCTTCACCACTGTCCAAACTTTCTCACAATTCTCCAGTGACAGCATTGGCGTGGCTGGTTGATGGACAAAAACTTGCAGTTGGTGCAGGAACCAGAGGGTTGAGCGGGCAGTCGACGATTCAACTGTTCGATATGCGAGTCTCAGGTACCAATGCCCCTCCCATTTCTGCACCTGCTCATGACTCTGGCGTTCATGGTATCGAAATTGATTCTCTTCGACCAAACGTATTGGCATCCTTTTCCCAAGCTGCTGGAGAGCCAGTAAAACTATGGGATATTCGAAGAATGGATTCGGTACTGGGAGAAATTAAAGTTGTTCCAAATGGCGCATCTGCAACTCCAGCCGACGATGTCGTCGAAGCGGTCAAGTGGGCAATTCACGAGCCAGGCATTTTGACTGTTGCGAGTGGTGGGACTCTGCATGATTTTGATACAAAGGTCGGATCTCGACCAACGCTAGTTGCAGTGAAACACACGCGTAAGGGTTCGAGGATAAGAGACTTTGCTCTCTATCCCAATCGCCAAGGTGACGGTTCCAACGAAGCGCATAATCCTCTTGTCGATAAGTTGTATAATCGTCGCGCTCTAACAGTTCTGGAAGAGAGAGAGGTATTTGACATGGCAAAACACACAAACGCTCCAGTATCTATTTCTCATCGTGATGGTTCCGTGGTTCATTCTCTGGGGGCGAGTTTATTTGTTGAAGCTCCGACATCTGGCGAGTCCGCCATTCAGGACTTTGTAACTGACATTTCAGAGATAATGAGACGACGGGCAAACGGCAAAGAAGGGCGTCGTTACTGCATGAACACTCAGACAAACACTTCTATTTTAACTGCGGAACTGGGATTCATTGAGCCAAGCAGCGATACTTTCTCGCAGTCACTTTCCCTATTGTGGTTTTGGACATGGATTGATCGAGTCGAGAGAATTTGTGATAAGGCTGAAGGGGAGGGCTTCGGGTGGACTGCTAAGAACCTGTGTGATGCAGGTTGTTGGTCTTTGCTAGGGTTCGATACTGAATCAGCATACCTTCTTGACCAGCAATCGGTTTCCGAAACGTTCGGGTGTAAGATTTACGATAGCACAAGCCGAAGGTAAGGCATGAAAACAGCGTTTGCTTCCATTCCGATATCTTTCTCTTATCTTTGCCTTCCAAAGACATGCATTGGCCTCTTGCGGGTGGGCAGGAATGCTTGAACTTGATGATGTACTTAAAGATTATGAAAGTATTGGTGAGTTCGAGAGATCTGCTGCCTTGGCAGTGTGGCATGGCGACATTGGAGCAGCTGTGCAAGCCCTTCATCACGCTTCGAATACTATTCGACTCAGTATGCAACAAGGCGAGTCAGAAGAGTCAACCTATGCAGAGACATTAGACTTGATATCTATGTGTATCGCTGGATTTGGGAGCAGTTCGGGGTCCGTTTGGCAGACGGCTTGCTCAACTCTTCTTCGGCGCCCTGATTTAAAGGACGAATCGAAGGACAAGGGCGGTAGGGTAGCGTACCTCCGAGCGCTTTGTGAATTTCTTCTAAAAGTGGGGACGCAAGAAAGCATAGAAGAGGTTTTGTGGAATGTTCAGCTCAGCTTGAGTGATCGCATTGCCTTTGCTTGCCGTTATTTGGGTCAAAAGGAACTTCGGTCATATCTGTCAATGAGTATTAAGTCTTGTCAAGCAAGTGGAAACATTGAAGGTCTTGTGGCAAGTGGACTGTCCAAAGAAGGCATCAAGATTTTGCAATGCTTTGTCGACAATCAAGTCGACATACAAACAGCTGCTCTTGTCGTCAGCCGAGCAATCTTGCCCCCGAGCTGGACGCAGGAACGAAAGGCATGCATGGAGTGGGTAGAATCATATAGGGCGTTGCTGAATGGCTGGCAAATGTGGACGAGCCGCGCCATGTATGATGTAGATCGTGCAGCACTTTTGCGGCGCATAAAAGCAAAGAACACAGAGGCTGTGTCAGTGAGTGGTGTGAAGCCCGTACCGCTCCAGAATCGCCGGGCACAGGGTGCCAACAGACGGCAGGGCTCTCGCTCGGTAGACCCTGAGTTTCTACAATCCATTCCTCCACAGATCGATGCTCGATGCAACTACTGCTCGACCCCTCTTCCCCTGACAAAGGGTGTCGCAAGTCAGTTCTTATCCCGAATGAAACCGCAACTTTCGTGTTGCGTTCATTGCCGCAAACCGCTCCCACGCTGCTCCGTATGCCTCCTACCACTTGGATGCTTAAATCCCTACATAGAATTCACGAAGGATCGATCTCGGACTGGCCCGCGTGGAACGTCATCTTTGGCGTCTTCAGATGACCTATCTTCACTAGCGAATCTCCCTTTTGCAGAATGGTAAGAATTGCATGCCCACCCTCGTTGTTGTAATGATTTTGTCGACTCACGTTGCTGTGTTCTTCGTGCTCAGGTTTACATGGTGCGTCAAATGCAAACATGGAGGGCATGCGCATCACCTAGTCGGTTGGTTTTCCGATCATGAGACATGCCCTGTCAGTGGGTGCGACTGTCGCTGCCACTTTGACAGCATCAAGAAGGTCTCCCAATCTGTAGACGCAGCCTTGGCGAGTGAGCTCATCCGGAGCTAAAGCCTTGTTATTGGGATGGAGTGATACCTGATTAATGCAAGTTTCCTAGGCTAATCAAGGCAGAGACGTAGTTGGGATTAAGATAGTACGAAAAACTTTGCTTTAGGATTTGGTATCACGAAAGATCGTAGCTTTTCTACAAGTGGCAGTGTTCCAGACAAAGTCTAAAAATGAAAGTTATTCCCGCAAGCCAAAACAAGGGCACCTCGGCTTATTGTGCATAGCAGCGAATGCTCCAGAGTTGAACATTTGGCTGGAAAGACACTTTGGAAGTTGGGACGCATCGAGTGCGTTACTTCGCATTGTTTTGGGTGTTGGGACGCATCGAGTTCGTTACTTCGCATTGCTTTGGGTACTCTTCAAGAAATAAAAAGTAAGAGAGAGGTGAGGATATGCATTATCGTGCACAATAAAACACATCATCTTCACTCAATCGATCAGTACTTTCAAACTGTTTGCGTCACATAAGGACCCCCGTCCAAGACTGAATCATGTTGGGAGCTGTGATGGACGATATTTCTCTACCAGCAAAACCACGGACCATCACTTGAGGTTAGCTCCCTCTCGGGAGCCAGCGATAGCCTCGGAATACATTCCCTTTCAGGAAGATTCGGAAATCATTTACTGGATATCAGGTTGCCAACAATATTGGCAGCATCCGTCACATGTTGCTTACCATTGCATTTTAATCCTGCGATCCTTGTTACGCCAGAAATCAGGAGTCATGAAAGCTTAGGAACGATCGAAAGGTGGAACGAACGCCATCTAGCATTGAAATCAAGTCAACGACGTCATAGTTGAATGTCAAGGGTGGTTGGTTCATGTGTGGTGATTGTTGATGTGACTTGTCGTAGAAAATGTACTCTAGCTCAACAATAGACACTCTAGTAGTATGAGTAAGTCAATTCAATATCCGGGTTTTGTTTTCAGAACTAGATTGAAGAATTCAAATCAGATGCCATCACTCAGTCAATAAGCAAGGATCCCGTTGCGAGCATGTCACAAAAGGATGGAGTAAAAAAGCACGAACTTCATGCACTGTCGGGCGCCTATGACACTTATCTAGAACACGATGAATCAGAGAAGAATCATTTCGACGACGTTTGCCGAGCGTTTCGACAACATGCTACATTTGTCATGTCACAGTGGGCCAATCATCAGTTTCGTCTTCACGCACTGCCACAATCTCAACGAGATCTCTTACCGGACGCCTTGAAGCACGGAACTCCCGATTTCAATAAACGGGCCTCTCACTACAAGGATGCTGCAATCAGAAATCAGTTTTGCTTCGACTGTATGTTGAGGCATGCTGGAGTGCCACATTCTCAACAGCAGGTCACTCCGATAACCAAAGTGCCATCAGATGAACAAATGTCCAAAATTACTTCCGTCCTCAAAAGTTTGGCGCGGGATTGGTCCGCAGAAGGAAAAAGGGAGCGAGATATGGCATATGTCCCTATAATCGAACAGATCAAAAAGTACATGCCACTGTCAGACTTGTTGCCCCATGATCGACCTACGATTGCTGTCCCTGGAGCTGGTAAGACATGATGATCAACAGGAGAAAAGGAGTACGTCTCGTCTCTCTCATGAGTTCCTAACAATTCCACTTGCATTTTTTCAACAAACAAAACATTAGGCGTTGGTCGACTAGCTTTTGAATTGACCAAATTAGGCTATGCCGTCCAAGGAAACGAATTCAGCTTGTACATGCTCCTTGCGTCAGACTTTATGCTGAATGGAGGCATTGCTACACCTGATAGACCACTGAGAATATCGCCCTGGATTTTGGAATCTCGCAACTCCCATTCGTCTGCCGATCGGTGTCGGTCCATTCCCATTCCTGACGTGGACCCTACGACGCTTTTGAATTCTGGAGGGAATGCCATGCCACCAATATTTTCCATGGCAGCTGGCGATTTTGTTTCCATTTACAGTAATCCCAGTGAAGCCGGCAAGTGGGACTGTGTCTGCTCCTGTTTCTTCATGGATGCCTGTCCAAACATTGTGGAAATACTACAGATTATACACAAAATGCTCAAACCAGGTGGCTATCTCATGAATTTTGGACCTTTGTTGTACCACTGGTCAGGTCCACCAATGCGACCTGACGATGAGTCTCCGGATGCCTACCACTCTCGCTTTCAACACTTGGACGACCGATATCTGAAGAGTGTCGACCTTTCCTATGAGGATGTTAAGGAAACCATGATGAAGGTGGGATTTGAAGTTGTGGAGGAGCACGTTGGTATGGAGAGTCTTTATACGGCAGATGAACGGTCCATGCAAAGTACCATGTACAACTGTGTCAATTTTGTGGCAAGGAAACGACGATCCGAGTACGTGAAGCAGGAGCTATGAAACTAACAAAAATCGATCATACGACCACGCGGAATGCAGAAAGACACGATTTATCAACGAAAAGCAAATACAAAGAAGCCATCGATTGGCCGGCCGACCCTTGCAGTGAATCTGTTGCACCCTGAAACAAGCCATCATCTTGATAGAGACTTCTTGTTGACACATGTTCGCTTGATTCCCGCTTGATAATTTTCAATCGTGCAAGGGTGTGGAAACCGCTCTCTCAATCCGCAGCAGCATCCAATCCAACTCCTACAGTACGAGTACAAGTTCAAATGTAATAAGTTGATAAAAACTCTGATAGAAATAGCAATCAATCGACTAGAATTATACAGAAGTAGCAGCATTGTTTGGTCGGTCGGTCCTCTGAATTTTGTTCCAACACTCTATTCAGTAGCCTCCCAAGATCCTTCCGTAAACAATCGAATGCATTCGGCATGTAACGTTGCGTCGTAGCAGGCTACAACTCCATTTCTATTCAATGCCTCCGCTTGCGACCGGCTGTAATCCATATTCTTTCCGTTCTTGTCCGTTAGCTTGCCTCCTAATATTCTTAGAATGGCATCCGAGGCTGCCACATCCCACAATGAGGTCCCAGCTTTTGGATAAAACCAAAGCCCTTCTTTATGTGATCGTATTATCATTCTCAACGACTTTTCCCCTGCCCCACTGACAAGTAAGGGTTCTGATTGAACTATTCCCTTGTTCCCCAAATGTGCCACAAATTCCTTAATGATCCCCTTGGCCTTGGAACCTGAGATTACAGCTCGTGGCAAGTCTTCCGGAAGTTTGCCCTCCAAACTATATCGTAGGGTAGAGCCCCCGGCAGTATAGGCTGCTCCAAGTAGCGTACCCCCATAAAAGACAACACATTCCGTGTTCATCACTGTTGTATGACCTGCATACCCAAAAGGTTTACAAATCACACCAAAGCAGGGCATTCCATCCAACACAATGCCAACCAGTATCGAAACGGCATCAAATTCTCCCTCTGCATAACATTTGGTACCATCTAGAGGATCAATGAATACACTGACTCGTGATGGGTCCACTTCACAATCCTTCAGTTTTTCAAGAGCTCGATCTTGGCTCGTGGATGGTGACGCTTCGGTTTCAGCATTTGTGGCATCATCATTCTGCGCCAACCTCTGTTGCGCCAATGGAAATGGTAGATCAGACGATCCTTCACCATCGGAATTATATCTCATTTGAATCTCTTTTTGGGCCAAGTGAAACATTGCCTGAATTTTGTCTTCCATTCCTGTCATGGATTTCTTGGCCATTTCTTCTTCACTTTCTTCCCCCACAATCCGGATGTCGTTGGAAACATATTGTAGGGATTGTACGATTATGGATTGGGCAGCAAAATCCGCATCAGTCACCACAGAGCCATCGGCCTTCAGTCGCACATTGTTGTGGCTGGGCAAGACACCAGTGTCATTTTCGTCCGTTGTGGACATTTCTCGAATCAGATCGGCCGCCACAATCACTGATGACAAGGATGCGGCAGCCAAATCCAATAAGTTGACCGCAGACGACGCCATGATAAGAGATTCTCGTTGTAGTAATGAGTAAAAGGAAGAATAAAAACTGCAAATTTTGAAATGAAAGCACCACTCGACAAAATCTTCGGTGAGATAAATGGTGACTCTTGTTAGGAAAAAAGCAACGCGCGCCGTGCATGCTTACCTTCCGTACTTTCACGCGATCAATCAATCTTGAAACAACGGTCATGAAGCGTGGATGAACGCAGGCGGAGTTGCTCCGGTATAAATCTACATGTCGCAAGAAATGTCTTGCACATTTGAACTCTTTTGCTTGCATTATCCACCACGAAGAAAGACTCTCCTCCTCTCACAGATCCATTCCTTTGAGGCCCCCTTGGCATTGACTGATCCATCCATTGGTCTATATTCTGTCCCGTGTAGTTAACAGTTGAATCTTACGCAAGTGTGGTTGGACGACATTTCAGAATTTGCTGGTCAATTGATTGCAGAGTTTGTTCACAGTCCGTGTAGAATCTTAGAGATCTTTAAGCTTAAAGATGGGACAATCTTTATGTATTGAAGCTTGGGAGGCAATGGCTGGGTCTTCTCAAAACGATGGTGTAGAAAGTATCGACTTCGATAGCCCAAAGGAACAAAAGAAGGCTCTCTCAGTCAAGGCAAGCGAAGACGGCACTGAAAACGATGGCAACAGTTCGGAAAATTCCCCCACCAAAGCAGAGGAAATGGCTGAGGAAACGACAAAACCAGAGGAACCAGAGCAAGCCAAACAGGACAAATCACAAAGGTCTGAACCGTTTCCACCAAGAAGCAAAAACGGCAACGCAGAAAATGCTGATGCTTCAAAATCAGCCTATGCGAACGATGCTACACCTGAAACTGATGAAACTGTGGAGTCATCAACGGCTGCCATTGAAACTAGAGCGACAGCTGAAACAGCTGCCACTCCCGCCACTTCAGCCGAAACGACAGAGTCAGATACAAAACCAATCGATCCTGTCGTGTATGACGAAGAAAAGGATCCCGTCAGAGACACACCGAGCACTATTGGAGAAGAGGATCTTCCTCCTCCTATTCCTAAACAAGAGCCCTTGGTGCCGGTGGTCGAAGAAGATACGGTGGCGTCGGCTGGAGACACTGCCTCGACATCTTCCCCTACCAATAGCAACGGAAGGCCTTCACCTTCTTCTTTGCGGAGGGAACAGAGCGTTGCCTCAGAAACTCCTTCGACTGAGAAGCATCACCGCCCTAGAGAGAACAGCATTACCCTCCAATATGCGACACGAGACAGTGAGGGAGTAGGACATAACCGATCACGATCAGAGGGAATTTTGACGTTTGAAGATGCCACTCGTCTTCAAGCAAGCTGGAGCAACGCTGATCCAGAAGAGTTTTCTCCGTTTTCTCATGCCAAGTTTGGCCATCACTCTTCTACCTTTCTGGACGAACCCTCACGAACCTCGATCAGCATGATACGGGTCAGTGCCGTGGAAGATCCTTCCATGCCAGAATCTAATGTATCATCCGTCATTCATGATGCTGCAAGAATTACCAATTGGGGGACTGTCAAGTCGTTGTGCGAAACGGATCCCGAAGCGGCCAGTTTTGTGGGAAGGGATCGGTGGACGGCATTGCACCACGCTTGCAATCGTCGTTGTCCCTATGCAGATGTAGTGGAAGCTTTGATCACAGCATATCCAGATGCATTATTACAAGAAGAAGATAAAGGATGGTTGCCTTTGCACTATGCATGCAGATTTAAGGCTCCCAAGGAGGTTGTAAGGTTGCTCATACACCAATTTCCAGAAAAGGGTAGAATGGCGGTCAAGTGTTTGGAGCGTCAGGGCCGCACACCGCTATATTATGCGGTCCGATACGATGCACCACCAGGAGTTGTGGGGCTGCTGTTGGAGGTGGACGCATCGGCAGTGTTGGAGGAGGATCAGAATGCTGATTCTCCTCTTGCATTGGTCTGGGATGCCTGGGCCGAAAAAATGGATGGCAAGCGCACATTGCAGCGAATCTATATTCCAGAAAGTGAAGCGGAAACTATGGCGCTCGAAGACCAAGCAGCACAGGTGGAAAAGAGACTAAAGTCTCAAAAGAAATTGTATGGTCGTTGGAACAAGGTAAACATCTTTTTGAAGGCAGCTTTTGGTTTCTCGGTGGAGGATGACGACGAAGCGGGCGCCTCCAATATCGACGGCGACTCGAAGATAAAGGCGGGAGGAAAGAAAGATGCCAACAATGGCCGCAAGTGGAGAATACTGCACGCTACGGCTGCCATCAAGTGTCATCCATCTCTATTTATGCTTGCTAGGTCGTTGCACCCAGAACAATGCTTTGAGATTGACGATAAGGACTTGAAAGGTCCAGTACATATCAGTGGAGACGAGACTGCTGCGCATGGTCTCACAGCACTTCATTTGGCCGCTTCCTCCCATGCAAATGGGGAATCGAGCCGCCTCGTGATTACTGAATTACTGAGGATGAATCCAGCTGCGGCAGAAGAAGTCGATTCCAGCAACAGTCTACCTTTCCACCGAGTTGTAGAAAACAAATACAAACCGCACTGGTCAGAGGACGGTGCAAAGGATATATATTTGGCGAATACAGCCGCAATCAGCGCAACCGACAGAGACGGGAAACTGCCGCTACACCGTGCAGCGTCAGCCATTACCTACAGTGAAAGTTCCTCGACTGCGACCAAAGCACGATCTGCAATATGCAATTTACTTGAGCTAAGGCCAGAGGCGGCAGAACATTCCGACAGCTTTGGATGTCTTCCTTTGCATCTGGTGGCACAGTCCGGAAGTCAGTGGGACTACCAAGTGCAATCGCTATACGACGCCAATCCAGCGGCAGCCCAAGTTCGCAGTGGTGTGAAGATGTTGAATCGATTGCCCCTGCACATGGCTGCATCGAATCCGTCAAGCGAATTTTCAATGATTGACACGCTGGTACAAATGAACCCGCGAGGTGCCACCCAAGCTGACCGAAAGGGCAACTATCCCCTGCATTTGGCTTGTGCGGCTGGATTATCGTGGGAATCCATCAATTCGATTCACAAAGCCTATCCCGAAGCCATTCAAGAGGCCGAAGGGAATGATCGGGGCTGGACGGCACTTCAAATCGCTGCCTCCAATTCCCAAATCAACGTGGACGTTATTTCCAATCTCAGTGAAATCTACCCACTAGGGGCCGGAGTTGCAGACAATGACGGTCGATACGCATTCCACTTATCTTGCTTCGCGGGTCGTAAATGGGAGGAAGGACTATCAGCATTATTTCAAGCATATCCTGATGCTCTTGGCACGCCTGATCGTAAGGGACTATTACCCTTTCATATTGTATCCTTTCGATACAGCGCCTCCCCGGAAGAAGCTATTCCTGAAGTTCAAGATCCGTCTCAGAATGAACGGGGTTTTAGTAAATCGGCTTCGATTGGGCTTGATGCGGAACAATATGCAATGAAGGAATTGGAGGATGCCAAAAGAATTGAAAACTTGTTTCATCTCTTGAAAGCAGACCCAACCGTCCTTTCGACACAGTAGAAATATTGTAAAGGATAATAAGTGGTCACAAAGTTAATGCCTTCCTGGTTCATGTTTGAACATCTGCCTGGGTCGCCTTCTCTCATGCCTTGGTTCGCCTTGCTTCCAAATGGTTTGTTGTCGACTCTTCGTTTTTTGTTTTCCTCTTTCTCCACGTCTCCCCTTCTTTCCCCCCGTCGAGATGAGAGAATCATTCTTATCCTGAGGGAGGTACAATTGAAAGAATGTGCCCTGTTTGATGGGTTGGCAAAGCAGTTTGAAGGACGTTTTTGCTGCTGAAACTGAAAGGGTTAGATTTCTGAGATGTGTTGAATAAGATTATAAGCCCGCTTGCGTTCATATGGCAAAGAGGCAGTACACTCTGTTGTGAAGCTATCCTTTATTTTGTCACTCCATCCTAGTAGTGCTTCTAACTTAACGTGCTCGTTATGAAAGTCGAGAAGAACGCAAAATCATCTCAAATCATTCAAACTCTAACAATATTTTCAATTTGTGAGAAACATTTTGATGTTTATTTTAATCGAATGAATCGATCCTTCGTTTTCTGCATGGCATGCATGAATGACACACGAAGCCGAATCCCGACCGACAACTGAAAGAGGTGAACGCCTTCCAACCATTCTACAGCCAATCACTGCGACGCTACCATGGCCAAAAGGGCGCTACAGCATGTTCTTGAGCAGACAATAGGAAAGTACGTCAAGAATCTCGACGCGGAAAGTCTAAATGTTGCCGTTTGGAATGGCAAGATTGAATTGAATTCTCTAGAACTCGACGTAGAAGCAGTCAATGCAGAGTTGGACCGCAAATATGACGAGGCACCCAACCTGACCCTTCCTTTCAAAGTGGTATCAGGAAGTTTTGAAGCCTTCCAGGTAGAAGTTCCATGGTCACATCTTGCAAGCCAACCCGTCATTTTACGAGCTCGTGGATTGCGTGTCATTGTCCAACCTCACAATAGAAAGGCAAAAGCCAAAACGTTCTACGCAAATGGAAGTATGTCACTAGCCAATGCTAGACGGCAACGGGATACTTCAGTCGAATACGCCAACAAGTATCGAGAACAAACAAATGCAGTCAAGAAAATAACCGAGTCGGACCCGAATTCAAATCAATCGACTTTTGGATCTCGGTTAGTGCGGCGAATCATTGAGAATATTCAAGTCGAAATTAGCGATGTGCACATATCTCTTACAGATGAAGAGGGATCTGCAGGAGTAGTGCTCAATTCCCTTTCGCTTGTGACTGCAGACAAGCATGGTAACCGTACCTTTGTCGACAGAACCAATGCCCCAGGATCAACAGCCGACAAGATCTTCCTCTTTAAAGTTCTTCAACTAGAAGGGCTTGGTATCTATCTGGATGAGAAGAACGTAACCGAAGAAGCAAGAAGGTTAGATGCCATCAGTGAAGGTGGCGGGCAACACAAGCGCACAGGATGGCGACAACAAGTCCAACATTCGTACGTGTTGGCTCCTCTTTCTTTTACCGCCAATCTCCGCCAGGCAGATGGAAATGTCTGCATCGATTACTCCAAATATCTACTTTCTAGTGAGTTGTCGACGGTATCGATTATACTCTCCCGAAATCAGCTCGACCTGGCACGAAAAATTTCCAGAGATATCACATTGATGGAGCTTGGACCAACCCCGTTGTTTCCAGAATACCGACCACTTGCTCGGGTGTCACCAGTAAATGCCAAAGAGTGGTGGAGATACGCCAAGCGGTGTATCGGTCGAATGAGTGGACGAAGCTCGTGGGTAGAGTTCTTTTACGCCTTCAAGAAACGAAAGGCATACATTCCGCTGTACAAACGACATGTTTACAGTGATACGTGCTCTTGGATTGAACCTCTGTCGACGACCGAATTATTCGAAATGAATGAAATCGAACACGATCGGACGATATCCATCGAAGGGTTGATGTGCTGGCGAGACTTGGCAGACGCTCAGGTCGACAGAGAAAAGTCAAAGCTCGAAGCGCAACTCAAGGGAAAAGAACAGTCATCGTATTTTGGTTCAGTTTTTTCGAGTCGAGGAAGAAGGTCGAGTACAATGCAGCAGCCCGATGAAGATGCCCCGCCAATTCAATTGACCGATGAGGAACTGAAAGAGTTGGAAGAAGTTGCGAAGGAGAGCTTTGCCGATGATGAACTTTCCAAAGATTCCAAGCTTTATGACGCGAGCTTTGTGCTGAATTCGCTGAATATTGTATTGACATCTTATCACTCGCGGCAACTAGCTGCTTTGGACATGGGCAAAGTGGATATCGGGTTCAATGCCAGACAGGATGGTGCTTATGCCTTCAACTTTGATCTCTTTGACTTACAGATTCAAGATCGAGCGACTGTGAGCAGTCTCTTTCCGAACGTATTGCGAAATATTCAAGAGCAAGACAAGGGGGCGGCTTTGCAAAAGAAAAGTGCAGTCCATTTGGAGCTAGCGAAGTCAAAGACGGGAGACCAAAATCTTCAGCTGAGAGTTGCCGCATTTGAGGCTGTTGCGTCACAGGTATTCTTCAGCGAGCTCAAGAGATTTGTCGCTGCTACTCCGACAACTTCAGCGAAAAGAGGAAACCCTATATTAGCGCAGTCGCTATCAGGATCAGTCGACCTATTCTATGATGCCGACGCTGGCAAAGATGAGAAAGCACGTGACCCGATCACAGATACTATCATTTCGACCCAAGATATCTATGGCTACGACTTTTCCCATGCCCTTATCGACGCATGGAAAGAAAAGACAGAAACTAAGGTGTCCTGGGTCGTGGACGTGGATATTGACGCTCCAATCATCATGGTCCCACAGACGTGCAATGATACTAGGGCCAACATAGTCGTTCTGGATCTGGGTCAGTTACAGCTGCACTATGGAAAGTTTGCTCCGACCAAGAAAGTAAAGCAGTGGTTTCAAGATCATCAGGCTGATCATCAAGCTGACGTGTCTTTCGAGAGTGGATTTGTTTCCATGAATGATTTGACCTTTAAAGTCGCTTCGGCCAGCGATTGGTTGGAGGGCGGCGGTGCTGTCGGTTCCATCTCCGGGTCGGATGTCATTGAACCTATCTCGGCAAAACTTGACTTTGGAATCGAGCAGAGTCATAACCCACTTGATCCACCTCGTATCTGCTGTATTGGCGTGATTCCGTCAATCAGCATTCTCTTCTCCCCAGTACAAGGAAAGAAACTGTTTCCAGTGGTCAGGGCATGGGGAGATTTTACGAGTGAAATGAAGGCCGAAACAGAAGCTCTCGTACCGGCGGAATCTGTCGCTGACGATTCCATGTCCGTGGTAGCAGATAATGGTGCTCAAGCACAACTGGAAGTAGAAACAGCCCTACCTGATCCGTGCAAAACAGACGAAGAGTACCTCGCTACGTTTTTTTTCAAGATTGGGCTTCAGCGCCTTTCCGCAACTTTCACATTAGATGAGAGTAACAGATTGGAGGCTCATCTCATATCAGTGCATGCTTCAACAACAATGCGATCAAACGGAAGTTCTTCAAGCAGCCTGCAAATGGGTTGGTTTTGGGTGCTTGATTTGCTGGAAAGTGAATTCACGAGGAAACAAAGGTTGCTAGCGCATTCAAATCTGACGAAGGATCCAAGCTTATTTGCTGAGGGTGAGAAATATGATATGCTAGATCACTTGGTGCAGCAGGGTGTATTTGAGGAGGAATACGCTGGATCCACAGATCTCGCAGATATTTCGTATGAGCAATTGGTATCGGAATATGGGAAAGCGAGAATGGAGAATAGCGTCGATCAGATGCTAGATGCGAGGTTTTCAAGTTTATTCATCCATTGGAACCCCCAGGCTATAAAAGCTGTAACGGCGATGCTCGATACTTTCGTTACTATCATGAATGATCACGGGGATACTGGAACGTTCATTCTTTCCGCCGATACACCATTTACACCTCGCAATAGAGGACCTGCTGGTGATGTCGCTGCTAATGCACCGACGGACAAACTACTCATCAAAGCCAAAATGGAAAGTTTGGATGTGTACCTCAACTCTGCTCGTGATGACCTTCCACTTTTTGTCCTGACCATTGCACGAGGAAACATTGATATCCTTTACACTCAAGAGAACATTGAGTGTACTTCGAGTCTAGGTGACTTGAGGTTGACCACACCTCAAAGTTCAGGACGCACCTTGCCGGTTTATAGAACTCTTCTTGGATTGGCCCCTGGTCTTTCAGAAAGTTTGCTTACTGTGAAATATTGCCAAGGGAGAGAAGCCATAGACCACCTTCGTCTGAATGTCCCACAGGATCCCAAAAAATTGGAGGCCTTTGCTGATGTCGTCCTATCGCCAATGCGATTTGTGTTCATCCAGTCACAGATATTTGTTTTGCTTGAATACATTACGGAAGGTATCCTAGGAGTAATTTTCGAGCGAGCAGCGGCAACAGCGGCGGAAGCAGCATTGGAACTTGCCAACTCGGTCGCCGGAAAGAAACTTTTCATCATTAAAGCCACTTCTTTCGACTTGATCCTTCCGCAAGCGGCGTACAGGGAGGAGTTCTTTATTATAACTGCAGGGAGTTTGGATGTCAATTATCTCATGCATGCAGACACCAGAAGTGATGTTACAGTGGCTCTTTCTGATGTTATTCTGAAGGATACCCTTGGCGATCCTATGCAAAAGCATCCAATCCGACTAGCCATCGATATTTTGCTTCCGCCTGCGAATGTTGGAAGTGTGAAAGATCAAGCGATGCGAGCTGATATCAGAATCGCTGAAGTAAGTTTCTTGCTTTCACGAAACCAGTATGCGCAGATTCTTCATATGCAAGATGAAAATATAGCCGAGTTGGGTCTTTTTCTCCGCGACAATGAAGACGTCCCATCTCCAAACGGCGAAGGCGTGGGGCAAGAGAAAGATAGCTCACAGCCCGCCAATGATCTTACTCACGCCGGAGTCAAATTTGTTGACTATGCGCGAAACAAATTCATCAAGATTAAGATGGATATCATTACCCTTCAACTGTGTGGTACAAACCATACAGAACCTCTTGTTCGGCTTGCAGCAGTTAACACCGATGTAGCTGTGCAATCCCTTCTCGATCGCGACGAATTAATGTGCCATATTACACTGAGCAACTTAGTTTGCGAAGACAGTCGAGCAGTGGCTACGCATCGACAATATCGTCACTTGATAGACCAGGGAAATCGGCAGGGGGTCGATGATGAAGATGACTTATTCGTTGTGACTTATACAGCTGGGGCTGACTTCACTCGAACAGAGCTTGAAATTGGATCCCCGCAGCTCGTGCTAGTCCCCGATGCGATATCCGAAGTTGTCACTTTCTTTCAAGTTGAACGAAAAAATCAGATCCACCCCTCTTTGATGAAGAAGTTGGAGGAGCAAGCTAATCCGGGAAAGCAGGAGGCAGTTGACGTCACTTCAAGTGATGGCAGCCAAAATGTCGAAACAGCAATTGCAACTGTGAAAAGACCTTCCGTTTTTTACAAATATACCTATGCTGTGAAAACACAAGTTTGTAGTATTGTCTTGGTGGACCTTGGTAGCGAACTGTCGAGTGAGGGGAAAAGTGATGCCAAGCAACCCAGTCAGCTGACTGAAACTGTGGTTTTGCAGGGTGTCTTTGATGCGGCACTGACAATGGATACCGACCCAATAAGCTACGAAATAATCAATGCCGGATTACAAAGTCAAGCTGATGCTATGGAGATTTTCAGTGCTTTTGGCAAAGAAATGCTGAGTCCTCTGCAGATTCTTGAGCCTGCACAAGCTGCAGCTCATGGATCAATGAAAACTAATGTCGATGGTGGAACAGAAGTAGAGATCCGAGTTGCTGCTACGACAGGTTTGGAATACTCCTTTTCGATGCACAATGCAGCTCTATTGGATGCGATCTTGAAAAGCTTGAGCTCGTCGTTGTATGCCGGCAGCGACATGGGAAATGATAATGCTAATGTCAAGGAACTAAGCTCGAACGAGGCAGAGCGGATAGAAAAACTATCTTCTGCACTCGAGGAGACCGACCGCAACAAATCGATTGATCATCAGAGGAGCAATATTAGTCAACTACCTGTTGACGAAATATCAGCACATCTTTCCCCAGAAGGCGCAGTGAAGATTGCGAAGAAAATTCAGGTGAAGGTTACCATGCCGCAGTCAAGAATCACAGTAATCAATGACTTGCAAGGCTTGGACGAGGCTTTGTTCCGCGTCTCCGTTGCAAACTTTGTTGCTGGTGGCGAGGTTGTCGTTCCAATGGGCCCAAATCCTACGGAGCAAATGACTGTTGACTTTTACATGAATACTACGATTCTTGCGGACTATTTTGATTCATCCATCAACCTTTGGAGCAAGCTTCTCATCATGCCATGGGAAATTACTTTGAAAGTAGTCAGATCATCGAGTCGCCGCTTCAAGTCTTCAAGGTTAAGTTCAGCAATCGACCTTGAGAGCTTCCCGTGTCACATTTCATTTTCACAAGAGTTCCTCGTGAGTCTTGCCAGTGCAACGCGAATGTGGTCAGTATATTCTGTCGCGACATCAAAAAGCGTTCTGACCAGAGGCAGGAAGGGGGATAGTAGCGCAATAAGTGCGAAAGAAAGTATGGCGGCAAGCGCTGCAAGAAACCTGCTTACCTCTCTTCCATATGCAATCGAGAACCATTGTGGATGTGATGTAGTGTTCTCCTTGCCGGAGGGAAGTGTATCTCGGCGCGAATGCCCAACTGGATCAATTCAATACTTTCGGTTCCAGCCGCCACAAGGAAGAGGCTATGGTGGCAGAAGGATGTATGGTCAAGATGTCGAGTTTGAGAAGTCGGTGACATTGTCGATTGGTGATTCTGAAATAGAGATTCCTCATCTTGACGGCATGCTGGGGTCTCGGAAACATGTGCACAATCTGTTGGATGGTAGAGTGCTAGTCACATTTGTTTTTCGAGAAGGTAAAACAACGGTAAGCAGCCAATATTTGTATCGGTCACCTTTTGCAATCATTTTCGAAACTGACCATTGCGGTTGCAGGTACTGCATTTGACAAGTAATGTGAGTGTTTTCAATCACTCGTCCATCCCTTTTGCCATTTCGGTTGGAATGGACGATCCAAAGAGCATCGGAACCTGCATCGCGCATAATGAAGTGAAGACGAATACTGCGCTAACGGCTACAGACGGTGTTGCAACAAAGCAATCAAGTCGATTCAGTGTCCCAATGGACTTGCTTACAACCTTTTCGAAAGAGTGGGCTGATACTGGCCAATCTTCAGTATTTCTTCGCCTTTCTCCCAATCTGAAATTATCAGAACCCTCTCAGACTTTGCGCGGAGGTCTTGACATCGTTCCTCATTTGCGGGAGGTTTCGAAATCAGACAATAAATGCCATGTCTGTAGATTTGATGTGACTTGTCGAGGGGAGACAGCTGCTACAGATCGCACGGATCCATTTATCGTGCAAGTGTTGTTGCAAACAACTCTAATCGATGACAGAAGCATCTATATTGAAGTCTTCCTGGAGCCTCGAGCTGTGATTGAGAATTTGTTTCCAATTGGTATCAATCTTCGGAGTCCGATGCCGCATACCTTCAGCTCCGCTACAAGAGAGACCGTATTGGGCAACGATGTCGTGTACGACTTACAGCCAGGGGACCGTATTGAAGTGTTTACACCAGGCCCATCGATTGCAGTCACAATGAAACCAACAGACAATCCAATTGCTGGCTCCTCCTTGACATGGATGGATGGTGGTTGGATTGACCTCCCGCTGCTATCTGAGTTCCGCTTGCCGGAACCGATGGCTTGTTATTTCCCTTTCACAGAATTTCACAGCGAGGGTGATGCTTTTCAGCAACGCCGAAGCGAATTCTTCATTGCAGAAGGTTACGAAAGTTTGGAATTGCTTTCAGAGGCCAAGACGGGCAAGACAACGAGGATGTCGAAGATGCAACCAGTGATGCGGGAGGTTTCACTTGCTGACCCCCTGAGATCATTTCTCATCACAGTATGCTGTTACGGTGTGGATCACACTGGTGATATCCTGTTTGAATTGGTTCCAAACAGAGGTAGGCGCAACCAAGACAACGGAGAAGGAAAACGATCAAGGAAGGAAACGAATCATTATCATCCTTTCGGGGCATTTTCCTCGGAAAGTGGCTGGAGACGAGTGACTATGCTCCCAAGAACAAACTCAACGCTGCGACTGCTGCAGTTGACAATGGAAGGTGAAGCGGGATACAGGGCGACAATGGTGCGTTTGAAAATGTTTATGGCCGGCTTAGCTCTTCATGACTCACTTTTTTTAAGCCTTTTGCAATGGACGATTTGGCGATTGGTGAAGGCGGGGTCGATACGACACCAATCCTCTGGGAGAACAAGAAACGAAGCGGTTACTTTGCGTATCGCCGAATCATCAACGAGCATCAATCAGAGATCCACATCGTTCCTGAGTTCATGGTTTTCAACGGAAGTAACGAGATGGTGGTCATCATGGAACGAGGAATGGAAGACATCGTCATCGAAGCTGGTCGATCTGTCCCATTAAAATGTGTGTCTAGAATGGGAGGCCTAGAACTTGCTCTAAACTTTATTCAAGCAGAAAATAGAACGAAGTACATTCGAGTGGATCAACTCGGCATCAAGATGGAGTTTGTCCACTCTTTAGCCGGAGCAAGGGTGGGCAGTGTTTGTGTCCAAACTGCTTTGGATACGCGGGCCGACGCCCGTTTGGTGGTGAAAATCGGAGATGTCATGTCGGGATCAAAGGCAACTGCTTCATCTTCAATGATTCCTTCATTTCTTGCTGATGATTTTATCCGGTTTCGTGTCCGATGGACTGAATTGCAACTCATCCTTAACGAGAGTCAAGAACAAAAAACACGAAAACTTTTACCATCTCACGCCGCTGCATCATCAGTCGCAATCCGATCGAAGGCCGTGGAAGGAAATGAAGTTGAGATTGTGCAACAAAGATTGATGTCTGTCAACTTTTACCGTTTCACCGTTGACTTCCAGCGCGTATTCAAGGATCAGAAGGCGAAACACGAAGGTCTGGGGATGCCTTCTCCAGAGCGATGCCAAATGTCGATGATCATACACCAACTTCAAGTGAAGGATCTGACTCCAGATTCATCATACCCTATCGTATTTGATAGTTCATCAGATGCAAACTTCATTGATTTGTGTGTTCGGACCCGAGGTCCATTGGACGCAGATATTGTCAAAGTTGATCTATTTGATATTTATTTGGCTCACTCGAAGGGCAAGTCGGAAAGGATACAACTGACTACATCAGAAGAGTACGTCTGGAAAATCATCGACATGATGAATCGGATTATCGAAGCCAGTAGCGAGGTTGGGGGTTATAATCTGGTGTTGAAAGAGGACGAAGACCACGGGGGGTACATTGTTAGGATCGAAAGTGGAGACGACGATAGCGACGAAAAGGCGCCGTATACAACTCCTCAATTCGATCAGCTATATGATGTGGATTTGGCTCGAGTCTCTCCTTTCGCATTGCTGGTCAGTTTCCGACGAACTCCCGACGAATCTCGATATAAGTTTGCCCGACATGTGAGAGGTGCCGCACTCACGAACTACTTTACTCGAAAGTTGAAGTTTTCGATCGACAAGGCCGAGTTGAGATTCGCAAGATACGAGAACAAGAGACTCAAAGGTCCACCAGATCGATTGGTCGAGTCTCTTGGAGCTGTCTATGCTTCTCGCATGAAGTTCAAGGTACTGACACTGCTTTCATCAGCCAGTCTTCAAGACTGGAGATTCTTGGCAGCAAGAGACAACGGTGATGACGAATACGTGGATGGTAAGTTCTTCATCGACCAGGAGTGTGGTTCTATTTCTCGTTTATCTTAGTTGTCTCGTTTTCGTGGTACAGGTGATATCCTGCGGGCAACTGGCAATCTTGCTGGAAAGTCAGCTAGTATGGTTATGAGAAATGTTGGGCGAGGGATTGGTAATGGCGTCTCCAACATCACGAATCATCTCGGAGATGGTATTGAGGGTGCCACTGGAAAGATTGGTGCCAGGAAACTCGGAAAAGGGGTCAACAGTGTCATCAGTGGTGTCGGTGACGGCGTGGGAAACACATTGACTGGAGGTAAGATCTTCGTGTCGCTATCGCGCGATTCGTTATCTCCCATCAAAAGCTAATATCTTGTGTTTCGTCTCAGTTGGTGGTGGCACTGGGAAGGTGCTGAGGGGCGCTGGACAAGGCATTGGCCATGTTGTCGGTGGCGTTACTGGGGGTGTCTTTTCCGTTGGCAAAGGAATTGGTAAAGGAATTATGAAAGGCGACGGCAGAGCTGTGAGGGATGGATTTGGAAAGGGAGCCAACCAAATTGGTGGTGGACTGGCCCAAGGTGCCGAATCGGTTGTGATGGGCACTGCAGATGGTGTGCTGATGGCCGGCAAAGGTATCTTTAAAGGTGTCAAGAATGTCGGCATGGGATTTGGAAATGCATTCAATGGAGGAAAGAAGAAGAAGGACAATCATCCCAAGCGATGAAAGTAGTAACAATGGTCTTGACAGCAACATTGATATCTTGTTGTCTCAACTCCCCGTGAACATATTGTACCGGTAGAACAAAAAAAACCTTTCGAATTCCGTTTCAATCCAAAACCAGAACCCAGTAGATCGTTCAGTGGAATGTGTCACACACATTGAGCTTCTATTCTAGGTTTCCCAGCTGCTTGTCCTTATCTTGTTCGCATTGAATAATCTTTTGTTGGCATGTCATCCCCTCCAATTGTTCAGCGACACTGCAAATCGAATGCGAGACGTGCTAGTTCGGTGTATGGTGTCATTGTCGTACGAGTTCGCATTATATTACAATCACATAACATCTGGATAAGTCATAAGACAAGCAGAACTGAAGGCCATCATGGTTCTTAGATGTACAGTATCAGTGACGGATGCATGTGATGGTCATCACTTCATCCGGAAAGGCTGATCGGCGCAAACTTCTCAACAATGATGGGAACCGGTGATGTCGTGTTTCCCAGTTTTTGTGACGTCGGTTTCTGATTTTGAGAATGTCACTGCCGAACTCATGAGTCTGGTCCAGGGGGGTGCCATGGAGATGACTTGGCAAAGTACAAGACAAAAGCATCTAGTAGAATTCCCTGTTTCTATTGAGTTTTTTAAAGTAGCAAATTATCGACATCATACGTGACTAACTAAATTTAAAGCTTGGCAACAAAGTCGATGGCGTCCTTGACAGTGGAGATAGAGACGGCTTCTTCTTCTGGGATCTCTGTGTCGAATTCTTCCTCGATGGCCATGATCAATTCAACGGTATCAAGGGAGTCGGCTCCAAGGTCATCAATGAAGGAAGCTTCAGGGACAACCTTATCGGCATCAACGCCGAGTTGCTCAACAATGATGTCTCTGACCTTGTCCTCGACCTCGCCGAAAAGCGAAGTGGCGGGGCGGTTGAAGGAGGCGGAAGGGGGTGCGAAGGCAGCGGCGCTGGCAACAAGGGCGAAGGAAAGGATAGTCTTGAACATCTTGAGGTATATGTGAATTGACTTGCTGGGATTTGAAAGTATGACAGCGTTGATTCCAAAGCTACCGTAAGATCCGTCCGTTAAACATCAGCCCATCAGATCACCGATGACGTACTACTCTCGAACCGCAAAAATCGACGTCTACAACCACACGTAGACAACGACAGACGACGTCGATTGCTCGTGCGTACTTTGATAAAGGCGCGCTGGTACGGTACGATAAGATAGTTTCGAGGGTATATTATGGGGAAGAGGAGATAGATTAATTTCCCCGAAAATACCCAAAACAAGATTTTGTGGATGAACAACAAATATTAAAATATCTCGTACTGTACAGTAACGACATGGCAGAAGATAGTTGCAATATCTGGGGGGAGACTATCCTGGCTCTTCAAAGCGATGAACTGACACCTACGAAAATGTGTGCTTGGACGATAGCATTTGTCGTAGCCATCACGTTTGTTACCTCCAGTTTGACGGGCAACTACTCTCAAGTCGACAAGCTCTGGAGTGTCATTCCTTTTGTTTACTGCTGGATTGTTGTAACTGATAAAAGGACACTTCTAATGGCCATTATTGCTACGCTTTGGGGTGTCAGACTGACTTGGAATTTCAATCGACGTGGAGGCTACAAATGGCCAATATGGGACGGAGACGAGGATTATCGATGGAAGCTCCTCCAAGATGGCGCATTGCTCGAGATTTTGAAAAACAAAGTTGCTGTAAGTATGGTTCATGATCGTAGAGTAGAGTAGAAGAAAGATATTGCATGTCTATCTCATTTCATGTTTGATCCACAGTGGGTTGCCTTCAACCTTCTCTTCATATCCTTTTACCAGAATGTGTTGCTCTTCCTCATTGTGGCGCCATCTTTAGTGGCACATATCGTGGCGACTGGCTGTGGACAAGCTGTACCACTGAATGGATACGACTACTTGGCTACGGCGCTGATACCTTTATTCATTGCTATTGAAGCCATTGCCGATAATCAACAGTACAACTTTCAAACGGAAAAGTATCGACGAAAGAATGCTGGTGAGACCTTGACTGGAGAATATGCCGATGGATTCAAGTCTAGTGGATTCTTTGCTATAGTTCGGAAACCAAACTATGCAGCGGAGCAAGCGATATGGATAGCATTCTACCTCTATAGTATTGGAGCCGTGAATGGAGAGAGATTCGTGAATTGGTCATCGAGTGGTTGGACATTGCTCTGCGTTTTGTTCCAAGGCTCAGGATGGCTAATAGAGCAGATCACGCTTGGGAAATATCCAAAGTACGGAGAGTATATGGAGCAGGTGCCGCGCTATATTCCAAATCCAATGGAGCTACTCGGCTTGGGTGCGTCGAAAACGAAGACTCCGTAAACCTTGCACAAAAGTCACTGCACTACTACTGTTCTGTCACATGAAGTTTTTTAAAAAAAATTGAATTATCTAATCTAACATATAAATACATGTTTGTTTTTCTACTTTCCATCCGATCGAGTGATTGCGTTCATCTTTTTGGTGTCTTTTGGGGCATCCTGCTTTCCTGTTTCTTTGGGCAACTTACCCGATGGCGGACTCTTCGATGGCGATTTCGATGGTGGACTAGGATCCGCCACTGGGATCCCATTGTTCTTTCCGCTGCCCTTATTCGATTTGCTTGCGGGGTTAAAGGAAGTTGGTGGGCTCTTTGACGGTGCCTTTGACGGGGATGTTGGTAAAGGATTTTCTCCCTCAGTCGAAACGTCATAATCGAAAAGGTCGGCTACGTTTGCCCCCATGCAAGGAGGACAACTGCACTGTAGGGTCGCCTTTTTGTCGCAATTTAGCTGTGACAGAGCAACTTGACTGCAAAGTTGAGATTTGTCACCATTCAGAAATCCAGTTACAATGGCGGCAATAGAGTATTCTTTTCCAGGAGACAACTCTAGACCTTTCGCGTCAAGTCGCTTCGTCGAGGGAACTGTCGCTCCGATTGCATCGCTAAAGTTGAAGACTTGGGATGGCGCACTGAAGTCGCTTGGAGTATACATCGCTAGAACGTGCTCCAATTCCACATTACTGTGGAACGAGCCGGCTCCCAAATCAAGGCGAATGGAGGACACATCTTCAAGGTACATGGATACACGTCGACGTCCAAAAGTGTGCCCAAGTTCTGTCACCTCCTTACAGCCTCCATCACTGCACGAAATATCGCAGAATGAGTCGAATTCAACCAATTGCTGGGATCCAAATTGGTCGCCTGCAGACATGTCATCAGAGCAAGAGCTTTGGAAGAGAATTTGTTGTAGTATCTTGCCTTTGCCAATACCCTCAATCCATTCGTATGTGAAAATTGCGGTGTTCGTTGACATTTTCTCGCCCTCGGTGGTCGCTTCCCAAGTTGAATTTACACTAACAGGTCCAGAGAAGTAAAGCTCGTTCTCTCCGTATGCTTCAATGTACACCGTGTGAGCTTCAGTTGAAGCCGGTGGGCCACATCCAGGGGTGGGATTCTTATTATTTTGCTCCGCGCAAGTTACACCATGCGAATTGCACACTCTGCCATCCGAGGTGAAGTCTGCACAGACATTTCCGGTACTCCACTCGGAACAGGGAAGCTCTTCTTTATCACAGGAACAGTAGTCAGGATTGTCGCCCAGACACCTCTTGAAGCTCATGCCATAACAGCCACCACCATTGTATTTCATTTGCATTCGGTACGGTGTCTCTTTGCATACTTCATGGCGGCACTCGAAAGTGCACTGGTCCAAGAAAACTAGGTCCAAATCGCAGACAGGCTGTGCAGCCATCAATTGTACCCCAGCAGTTGGGAGAAGCGTCGAAAATATGCTTGCATCGGTATCAGGTGCCAGCGAAGGACTAGATACCACTGGTATCAGATTCGCAATATTCGTGGGTGATGGATTCGAAGTCTCAAAAGCGACGGAAATTGCAGTAGGAGGCGAAGCTGATGAAACCTTTCCCTTGGAACTGCTTCCTTTGTTTCCGGAGTCAACTTTTCCAGATGGACTAGATTGATCAATTTTCCCGCTATCATTCTTGCCAGTCTTGCCTGCCCATTTACCCGTTGAGGAGTCGGGTTTTCCTGTACTATCATTTGCGGAATCAATCTTACCGTTCTTTCCGGAACCGCTCTTCCCAGTGCTCCCGCTATTATTCTTTCCCGAATCGTCCTTTCCAGACTTGTCAGAGTCACTTTTACCAGTCTTTCCAGACTGATGACTAATAGCATCATTGTTCTTCCCGGCCTTGCCGGGGTCTCCCTTTGTGCTTTTACTTTTGCCGGAGGCACTTTTCCCGGATTTGCCTGAGTTGCTCTTGGAGGCCATTCCAGACTGATCACCGGTAGCGTCGTCGCTCTTTCCAGACTTGCCACTTTTACCAGTCTTTCCAGACTGATCACCGATAGCATCATCGTTCTTTCCAGCCTTGCCGGAGTCCCCCTTTGTGCTTTTACTTTTGCCGGAGTTACTTTTCCCAATTTTGCCAGAGTTGCTCTTTGCGGCCTTTCCAGACTGATCACCGATACCATCATCACTCTTCCCAGCCTTGCCAGGATTACTCATCCAACTTTTTCCAGACTGATCCCCGATAGTCCAATCGCTTTTTCCCGCTTTGCCAGAGTCATTCTTACCAGCCTTTCCAGACTGATCGCCGACAGTGCCATCGCTCTTTCCAGCTTTGCCAGTGTCTCCTTTTGTACTCTTGCTTTTGCCGGAGGAACTTTTTCCAGATTTGCCAGAGTCATCCTTTCCAGACTGATCACTGACACCGTCGTCAATCTTTCCAGCCTTTCCAGACTGATCACCGATAGCATCGTTGTTCTTTCCGGCCTTGCCTAAGTCTCCTTTTGTGCTCTTACTTTTGCCGGAGGCACTTTTTCCAGATTTGCTGGAGTCATTCTTACCAGCCTTTCCAGACTGATCACCGACATCATCATCGCTCTTTCCAGCTTTCCCAGAGTCGCTCTTGCCAGCCTTTCCGGAATTGTCGCTTTTTCCAGCTTTGCCGGAGTCTCCCTTTGTACTCTTGCTTTTGCCGGAAACGCTTTTTCCGGATTTCCCGGAGTCACTCTTGTCAGCCTTTCCAGCCTTGCCGGAGTCCCCCTTTGAACTCTTGCCTTTGCCTGAGACGCTCTTTCCAGAGTCACTCTTGTCAGCCTTTCCAGCCTTGCCGGAGTCTTCCTTTGTACTCTTGCTTTTGCCGGAGACGCTCTTTCCAGAGTCACTCTTGTCAGCCTTTCCAGCCTTGCCGGAGTCTCCCTTTGTACTCTTGCTTTTGCCGGAAACGCTTTTTCCGGATTTCCCGGAGTCACTCTTGTCAGCCTTTCCAGTCTTGCCGGAGTCCCCCTTTGAACTCTTGCCTTTGCCTGAGACGCTCTTTCCAGAGTCACTCTTGTCAGCCTTTCCAGCCTTGCCGGAGTCTCCCTTTGTACTCTTGCTTTTACCGAAGACGCCTTTTCCAGACTTACCAGGGTCGCTCATCCAACTTTTTCCAAACTTATCAGCTTTGCCATCTTGTTTACCCTTCGATGAATTGCTCGTCCCGCTCTTTCCACCCTTCGACTTGTCCGCCTTCCCAGCAGGGACACGAGTGGGGGCTGGAATAGGTACTAAGGGACTTGAAGGCGTTCCTGTTGGTGATGGGGCTCCTAGTGATGGTGGATTGGGGGTTGGAGGCGGTGCGGAGGGAATGGGCGGTACTCCTGTTGGTGGTGGGCCTCCCGTTGGTGGCGGATCTGATGATGGTGGTGATATACCGACTGGTGGCAGGGAAGAAAGCTGACTTGCGACACATGGTGGACACTGACAAGGTAGCTCTTGTACTCGGCGGCATCCAATTTGCGATTCCGCAATCTGTTGACATGGACTGCCTCTGTCGCCAAGTAGGAACCCAGTAACAATCGTTGCTACACTGTAGTTCGTTTTGGCTGAAATTACAAGACCAGATTGACTGAGTTCGACTGGAGGAGGGACCACTTGGCCGATTGCTTCGCTGAAGTTCAACAGAGTTCCTGGAGCGCTGAAGTCTACTGGTGTGTAGAGCCCAAGAACATGTTCCAGCTGAACATTATTGTCTGTTCCAGCTCTCGCAATAGAGCCAATGAGCTTATCAAGTCGAAGCTGGGCGTCAGTCTCCATGAGCAATGAAATACTTCGTCGACCAAACGTCAAACCGTTTTCGGTAACATCCATACATCCTCCATCATTGCAGGAAGGTTGGCAATAAGAGTCCATTTCGCGAAGCTGATGACAGCCAAATTGGTCACTGAGGACCAGGTCTTCTTTGCAAGAGCTATCAAAAACAACATGCTGCATTAGCCGTCCTTTCCCCGAGTTCTCATCCCAGTCGTATGTGAAAATATCAGTGTAGTCGTCGACCGCATCAGTTGTTGTCATCGCTTCCCAGGTCGCATTGACATTGACGGGACCTGCAAAATACGACTCCTCTCGGCCAAAAGCTTCGATATAGACCTTGTGGTTTTCATTTGAAGGCGGTGGTCCACACTCCGAAGCCAAACCCGCTGTAGCTCCTCCTTCGCATGTCTGTTGGAGATTGTTGCAGATGTTTCCTTCTGCATCAAAATCTTTACAAGAGTTGTTTTGATTCCACTGGAAGCATGGAACATCTTCCTTCGTACATGTGCATGCATCCGAGTCTTCCCCAGCGCAACGTTTGAAAGATGTTCCTTCACATCCCCCTCCTGTGTAAAGCATCTGCATGCGATATGGCCGTTCCACACATAAATCAAAACTGCATGCAACCATACAGCTTTCGTCGACAGATATATCGAGACCGCATCCTTCAGCCTCTGCAAGAAAGGGCAAAAAAGTAGGAATAATTGATGGTAATCCTGACGGTACCGTCGACAATCCAGCAGAAGGCACAGTCGAAGGCGACATGGATGGCGCCGAGCTTGGACTTTCACTGGGCTGTTGTGTGTCCATAATTACGCCTAGATCTGAAGATGAAGGCAAAGATGATGGTCCTGGGGAAGGCAAAGGTGTTGGAACAGGTGATGGGATTGGAGACGGCAAGGGTGTCGGACTGCAGTCAATTCTGTCTTGTGGATCCAAACACTTGTCTGGGCAGCAGCCGCACTTGATTCCGATTGGCAAAGGTAAAACGTTACACATGTTGTTTCCGATAGATGAACAACTTGCTGGTCTATCATTGGGGTTGGTCTCCCAGCATGCAGTGGGACACTCATCAATCAAATGACTGCATGAAGTAGGAGCCTCGGAGGGCGTATCAGAAGGTCCCACCGATGCTTCAATAGATGGCTTCGAAGAAGGCATTGGCGATGGTACAGGCGTTGGACTGCAGTCTTCCCGATCTCGGGCTCCATTGCATTCCAACGGACAGCACTGCGGACAGTCGGCTTCATCATATGGTAAAACATCGCAATCTGGCCTATCAAAGTCGGCGCATTGAGGGTGCCGTTTCATTGGATCAGCTTCGAAACACAAGGCTGGGCACTCGTCGATCAAGTATGTGCATTCACTTGGCATGGATGACGGAGCCGGACTTGGTAGCAGAGAAGGCAGATCTGTGGGTTTTGACGATGGAACCGAAGACGGCAAAGCTGTCGGACCAGGTGATGGGATTGGAGACGGCAATGGTGTCGGGCTGCAGTCGATTCTGTCTTGTGGATCCAAACACTTGTCTGGGCAACATCCGCAGTCGATTCCGACCGGTAGAGGCAAAACGTTGCACATGGTGTTTCCTATAGATGCACAACTTGCCGGTCTATCATTAGGATCAATCTCCCAGCATCCAGTGGGACACTCATCAATCAAATGGCTGCATGAAGTAGGAGTCTCGGATGGTGTAGCAGAAGGTCCCACTGATGCTTCGATAGATGGCTTCGAAGAAGGAACCATACTGGGATCATTGCTAGGTTTTAGAGTCTCCAAGACAATCACTCCAGGCAAAGTAGGTTTTCCCGAAGGTTTTGGCGAAGGTAGTGGTGTAGGACTACATTCGACTCTGTCCTGTGGATTGAGACACTCGTCTGGGCAGCAGTCGCAAGAAATACCAGATGGCAATGGGATGTTTCTGCAGATAGTCCTTCCAACGGAAACACAGCTTGCAAGGCGGTCATTGGGGTTAGCTTCCCAACATGCAACGGGACACTCGTCAATCAAATGATTACAAGAAGTCGGCATGGCCGAAGGACTCTCTGTTGGAGCCTTAGATGGCGCATCAGACGGTGATGCCGACTGAGTCTCTGATGGTTTCATTGACGGTGCGTCTGATGGAGGACTCGATGGATCGCGGGAAGGAACTCTTGTTGGACTGCTCGAAGGAACCGTTGACGGATACGAAGATTGTTCTAAAGTTGGATCAAGCGACGGCGTTGATGAAGGTTCGGGGGATGGTACATATGATGGTCCTACGGAAGGCAAAGGTGTTGGGCTGCAGTCAATTCTGTCTTGTGGATCCAAACACTTGTCTGGGCAGCAGCCGCACTTGATTCCGATTGGCAAAGGTAAAACGTTACACATGTTGTTTCCGATAGATGAACAACTTGCTGGTCTATCATTGGGGTTGGTCTCCCAGCATGCAGTGGGACACTCATCAATCAAATGACTGCATGAAGTAGGAGCCTCGGAGGGCGTATCAGAAGGTCCCACCGATGCTTCAATAGATGGCTTCGAAGAAGGCATTGGCGATGGTACAGGCGTTGGACTGCAGTCTTCCCGATCTCGGGCTCCATTGCATTCCAACGGACAGCACTGCGGACAGTCGGCTTCATCATATGGTAAAACATCGCAATCTGGCCTATCAAAGTCGGCGCATTGAGGGTGCCGTTTCATTGGATCAGCTTCGAAACACAAGGCTGGGCACTCGTCGATCAAGTATGTGCATTCACTTGGCATGGATGACGGAGCCGGACTTGGTAGCAGAGAAGGCAGATCTGTGGGTTTTGACGATGGAACCGGAGACGGCAATGGTGTCGGGCTGCAGTCGATTCTGTCTTGTGGATCCAAACACTTGTCTGGGCAACATCCGCAGTCGATTCCGACTGGTAGAGGCAAAACGTTGCACATGGTGTTTCCTATAGATGCACAACTTGCCGGTCTATCATTAGGATCAATCTCCCAGCATCCAGTGGGACACTCATCAATCAAATGGCTGCATGAAGTAGGAGTCTCGGATGGTGTAGCAGAAGGTCCCACCGATGCTTCGATAGATGGCTTCGAAGATGGTATTGGTGACGGTTTTGGTGATGGTACTGGCGTTGGGCTGCAGTCTTCCCGATCTCGGGCTCCATCGCACTCCGATGGGCAACACTGCGGACAATTGGCTTCATCATATGGTAAAACATCGCAATCTGGTCGATTAAAATCAATACATCGAGGGTGCCGCTTCATCGGATCAGTTTCGAAACATAAGGCTGGGCACTTATCGATCAAGTATGTGCATTCAGTTGGCATGGATGATGGAGATGGACTTGGTAGCGGCGAAGGCAGATCGGTGGGTCTCGCACTTGGTTTGCTACTTGGTTTTTGTGTCTCCAAGAGAATGACCGCTGCTGCTGTTGGTTCCTCAGAAGGCGTCAATGATGGATCCGTAGACGGTACTGGTGAGGGTGCCGAAGATGGTACTGATGAGGGCGCAGATGTTGGACTAGATGATGGAATTGAAGTTGGAAGTGGACTCGGCATCACGGTAGGTGCAGAAGATGGCAGCGGAGACGGCACAGGTGTCGGTGCTCCACAGTTATCAGGATCAAAATCGAGGCAAATAGCTGGGCAACACAATGGGCAGCCATCCTGAAATGGAATTCGATCGCAATCGTCTCGCTGTAGCAGACCACAACTAGAAGGACGAGTGTCCACGTCCGAACTGAGACAATCAGCTGGACAATTCTCCAACATCTCTATACAGGGTGTGGGGGCACTTGTTGGCGCGGCTGATGGTGCTGGCGACGGTACTGCAGTAGGTGAGCACTCTGGTGCTGTTCCGTCAGGAGAAAGACTGAACATAGGGTGATCTGACCGGCACTCAGATGCACAGCAAACTGGACAGGCAATCCCTTCTGGAGGTGGGACAGCATCGCATTCCGGTCGGTCAATGCTGGGGTCAGTACAATCTGGTGGACGAGTTGGGTCTCCGTGTGATAGGAAACAAGAGTCATGAGGGCATGATTCGATCACTTCAGAACATTTCGACGGCAGCATGCTTGGTACTGGTGATGGTCCTGATGATGGATTTGAACTTGGCGCAGATGATGGAGCTGACGTTGGTGTTCCAGATTTTATGACACTCGGGCCTGCAGAAGGTGCCGATGAAGGTACTGGCGATAGTCTTGATGATGGAATCGATGTTGGTGTTGCAGACTTCATGATGCTCGGGCCTGCAGAAGGTGCCGATGAAGGAACTGGCGATGGTCCCGATGATGGGATCGATGTTGGTGTTGCAGACTTCATGACACTCGGGCCTGCAGAAGGTGCGGATGAAGGCACTGGCGATGGTCCCGATGATGGGATCGATGTTGGTGTTGCAGACTTCATGACACTCGGAGCTTCAGAAGGCGCCGGTGAAGGTCCTGGTGATGGCCCTGGTGATGGATTTGGACTTGGCACCGATGATGGAAATGCTGTTGGTGTTGCTGATGGTACGGGAGTCGGAACTGCAGAAGGCGCCGGTGAAGGTGCTGGTGATGGTAAAGCTGTAGGATCACAGCCTTTTCTATCACGATTTTCGTCTATGCACTCGTCGGGGCAACATTCGGGGCATTCAATGTAATCAAAGGGAAGCGAGTTGCACCCTCGGAGGAAAGGGAACGATGCTGCAATCGAACTACATGTTGGAGGCCGTGCGCCTTCGCCAACTTCCCAGCATCTCAAAGGGCATTCTTCAATCAAATAATTGCAACCAGTCGGTCTCATTGTTGGCGCAACACTCGGAACGGGAGAAGGTGCTGGTGATGGCACTGGAGTAGGATCACAACCTTCTCTGTCACGGTTTTCGTCAATGCATTCATCGGGACAACATTCGGGGCAGTCAATATAATCAAAGGGGAGAGAATTGCAGCCTTGGAGAAATGGAAAAGCTGCTGCTATTGAAGTGCACGTCGGTGGGCGTTTATCTACTTCAACTTCCCAACACTTCGATGGACATTCGTCAATTAAATAGCTGCAGCCTGTCGGCGTTGTTGATGGAGATGCCGATGGTGGAAGTGTTGTCGGACTTGATGTAGGAGGAATTTCCTGCAAAGAGGCAACATCTTGCATATTTCGACTGAACCAAAATTCGTCTTCATCTTTCAGAACATCAGGCAAATTCTTCTGGTAGTTTCTAACTTGTTGCTTTTTCTGATCTGTGATTTTTGTTGTTTTGCTCGTCGTCCGTTCTGACAAAGTTTCAATTTCTGCTGAAACTGACACTCCCATATATGATAGTAGTAATATTGATAACAGAGATGATGTCATTATCGGCAATGAAGCGGACGACGAAGGGAAGGGCCTCATCGTCACTTGTCTTGAAATCTGTGTCGGATGGTTTTTTCGCATTTTTTTTTATTTCGTGAACGAACCAAGAACGAAACGGCACCTGGCGCAAGCCGGCGGTCACATTTATCGACTTTAGCGATGCGTAATCGCCGGTAAGACTTTTCGTATCGGAGTGTACGGGTACGTACCGTACAGTATGACGGACGATATTCTGGTGGAAGGACAGGCAGTTGACAGTTTGACAGTGATTCCGGTATGGCAAATCCAAAAATTTCGAAATTCGTGAAACATCCGTTTCTCATCACAACGTGTATTATACCGTGTACCACAACTCCAATTTTATCATGCAACCGACAAGTCAACACTCCGTACTGCATAGCGGTTGCATTCCACTGGAGAAACCGACAGTTGTTGTAAACGGATATTGCAGAACGTGGCTCAAAACAGTCAATGCGACGACTAAGAACACAAAAGTTCATTTCCTCGCAAAATATAGATTTGAATTTTTCGACATACTTTGATCAACAATGGGTGCAGCTGAAGAAGTTGTTTCCATGATGAACAACAAGGGTATCCTAATGATGGGATGGGATAACTACAAGAAAGGGGAGGAGTGCTTCCGACAAGCCCTTCTTGTGGCACAAGGAGCTGTCAGAAATGGTGACCCGAAACGTATTCCAATGAAGTTGGGGGAAGGCATTCCTTCTGGAAGATCCTACATGAAGAGTTTACATACGAACCTTTCCGAGCTCGTTTCTCCATCAACCAATAGGCTTGTCGACAATGTCCCCAACTACCGACCAGAGTACGACGAGGGTATGGACAACTTCAGAGAATACTTTGATCTCGTGAACAAGTCCAACAATATGATTGGTACGATACTATTCAACATGGGCCGGTTGGCACAGAATCAAAGAAGGTTCCGGGATGCACTTAAATACTACTGGGAATCGTTGGTCGCCCTAAAGTTTGTTGGATTCCAAAGTGAACCAGCGGAGTGCGCTGCTCTCTCTTGCATCGGCCAAATCCAGTACATTTCAGGTGATTTCGAATCGTCATTGGAGACGTACCACATGGCTCTACCTTTGACAGAAACTGTATTCGGAAGGGAATCTATCGAAGTAGCAGCATGCCACAACGCCATTGGAATACTACACTATGTCTCGCCCAAGGGAGACAATGAAATTGGCATGAAAGCGCTCCAAAAATCGTTATATATTAGATTGAAGCACCAAGGACGAGACCATCTTGACGTTGGGACGACCTGGAATAATATCGGTCGATTATACTTTCATGACTCGAAATACTATCATGCAATGGCCGCGTATGACGAGTCATTGAGGATCCGGAAACTACATCATCGAGAAAGTGCAGACGTAGCTGCCACCCTGTTCAAGTACGTATCGATTGATAATCTTTGAGTTCACTTTCGACCATTCATTTACCTTTTTCTTCCACTACAGTATTGGTCAAATTTACCACCAAGATGGCGAGCTAGAAAAAGCATTGGCTGCTTATCACGAGTTCAAGCGAATGATAACTTCACAGTTTGGTCAGGATCACCGAGATGTTTGTATGGCTGCAACCTTCATTGGCAACCTGTGCCTTGAAACGAACGATTACGATGCTGCCATCAAGTCTTTTGAACAGGCCATACGAGTTGGGCGTTTGGTACTTGGATGGGACCACCCGGACATTGGAATCGCTCTCAATCAACTCGGCATGGTTCACTGCAAGGCTGGAGACCCAGAGACAGCACTCAAAGTGTATCATCAAGCTCTCAAGTTTGAAGTCGGTTTGCTTCGCAAGACTGGGACAAATCGAAACCTCTGCGTGACCTATATGAATATTGCAGAGATCTACAATCAAAAGTCCAACCACAAGCAGGCCTTGCACTACTTTTACAAGTTATTGTGCCATCAAAAGAAATGCGAAGACGAGAAAAGTGAGATTGCGAATACACTGATGCATATCGGTTTCAACAAACAGCAACTAGGCGACATTGATGGGGCCTTTGGTGCCTTGCAAGAATGTCTCCGTCTCAGACGAGAAAGTCTAGGTAACTGGCACGAGGACGTGGCAGCTGTCTTGACGGATACTGCAGTACTTTTGATGGAAACAGAGAAACGGGGAATTGCTCTTTCTTTGTTGAACGAAGCATACAGGATAAAAAGTGCTCTGTCGAGTGAGAAAACGAAAGATCTGGGTTACATTCTCTACAACATTGCCCTGATTTACCATCGAGAGGGGGACATGCAACATTCATTACGATTTTATCTGGAGACCTTGGCTGTCGAGCAAGTAGTGCTAGGAGACAATCATTGTGATTTGAGTATCACGCACTTCAACATTGCTCAGATTTTGAATGAATGCAACCAGCCATCAATGGCAATTAACCATTTCCAAAAAGCACTTGAAATTGAGCGAAAGTGCTATGGCAATCAGCACCCTACCGTAGCCAGGACTCTGAACCAAATTGGCAATGTAGAACTAGCGAGGGGAAATCTCAGTGATTCGATGGAATGCTACTCGGAGTCGCTACGAATCTATCGAGATGCTGGCCTTGATTGCAATCAATTGAGGGTACACGGCGAAAAGCTTTGGCGCTTTGAAACGATTCATCCAAAGGCAGCGGCCACAGCGTAGATTCCGAGAAACAGTGCCATGATTCGGCAACGACTACTATATTGTCTGAGTAGCGACATGTTAACAGAATTACGAATAGATTTTATCGATAACATACATGGTTCTATTCAAATCTACAGTAGGTGGATACAGAACACCAAGAGTTGGCAAATACAGATATGCAAATCCAACGGAACAGGTTCCTCCTGTTTTCAAGTCTACTTGTCTGCGGGTTTTTCGTAAGCTGCTCTGGTATTAACAAACGCCAATAGATCTGCAAATACATTTCCAATGCCCGTGAGTTTCAGCAAAGACTTCTCATCTTCTGGAACAACTCCATTAAAGTTCGTTCTGACTTCTTGAGCAGCTTTCACAATCTGCTGTGCCTTGACATTATAGTGTACAACATTATTTATACAGGGAACCAACAATTCTGGATCTACATCCGCAAAAGCATCCACAGTAAAGTTTGGAAAAGATTCTCGCAATTTCGTCATTGCCTTTTCCACCGAAGCCTGTTGGCATCGGGCATGCAATCGGGCCGCCACGAGCATTTGGAAGCGCTTAACTTCCAGAGAAGCTTCGGGATCAACAAGACTGTGCCATTTCTTTTGAATTCTTTCGCGCTCTTCGACAGAAACATCTTCCATTTTGGGAGGTGGGACGCATTTCGGTTTTGCGCGTTCCGTCTTGGGTTTCTTGTTGTTGGTCTTGTGGGCTTCAGAGTTCCACTTTTGAAAACGGCTTGTGGTGGGTGATGTATCAAGTTTCTTCTTTGGTGGTAATGGTTCGGTACTTTGAAACGCAAAGAGAGCGAATGGGTTGCTCCTTTTGGCCCCAGCCTCTTGTTTATTCTCTTGAATATTATTGTTTATGGGTTCATTTTCCGAGCTGTCGTCATCAATAACAATGACCTGTGAAGCAGAGTTATTGGAAGATTTCTCAATTGTCTTGAACTCTACCACTATTTTTTCTTCTTCAAGCTGTTGTCCCTTTGTCTTCGACTCCAAGACACCTGATGATAATGTCTCCATGATCGTCAACGATCCAAACAATTTCAAATTCAAAAGACTGAGCTTTGGTGATGGTCGATCCTGTCAAAAATTTGGGTATTTTTTTCTTTCTAGTCGAAGGAGTCGATTCGCCATTCAAAACGGAGCTTCAGTTTTCGAAAGTGAAGAGTGTAATACTCAATACTCATACACAACAAACCATGGCCACACCGTTGCCAAAGCCCATCAAGGGCCAAGCTGACTGGCGGGATTACCAAGCAGTACAGCTCGAAAATGGAGTGACAGTTCTTGCTATCCACGATAAGGAAAGCAAAATGACGGCCATGTCATGTTGCGTGAACGTTGGAGCTTCCGCGGACCCGAGATCATTGAGTGGTTTGGCCCATTTCGTCGAGCACATGTGGTTAGTGACTGTGTTCGTTCATTCATCCGTTGAATAGGGTGTACTTGTCTAATAATCTTTCACGCTACTGGCTCGCGTAGTTTCCTTGGCTCAAGCAAATACCCTGGGGAGAACGAGTACAAACGATATTTGGCATCACATGGTGGTCGTTCCAATGCATCAACAAGCATGCATTTGACGAACTATAAATTCGAAGTGCTAGCCGAGCATGCTGAAAAAGGTATGTTTTAGGGCGCCCTCTAGTCAAACCCTTTAGGGAGAATGTCGCTAATACACTCCCAACCACAGCCATTGACATCTTTAGCAATTTCTTTATCGATCCACTCTTCACATCGTCGGGCACCATTCGGGAGGTCCAAGCCGTTGATAGTGAAAACTCCAAGAACTTGGTGGCGGATGGGAGACGACGTTTGCAAATTTTGAAAGATCTGGTAGATCCGGACCACTACTATTCCAAATTCTCGACTGGTAACTCCAAGACACTGGATACAAGCGATGAGGCCAAATCGGAATACACCCGCAGCGCTTTGCTTGCTTTTCATGCCAAGCATTACATGCCCGAGAACTTCATTGTTGTTGTTGCTGGTCCGCAACCGCTGGAAACCTTACAAGATTGGATTGCCTCTAGATTTTCGAGAATCGAGGCGAAATCATTCCCAAGTACTGGGCATATGAGTGATGTGGAACGTCTTGTGGCAGAAGCTGCCAAGGATGCACCTCCCTATTCCTTCAAAGAACCGACCCCTGAACACAACTCACTATTTGAAGGATCTATCAAGAGCTCCATGCCGCTCCTTCTGACGACAAAACCACTTCGATCCATGCGCAAATTAGTCTTGATGTTTCCAATGAAGTCAGATCGAAAAAATCCAGACAAATCGCCATCTAGCTTCTTGTCACATTTGCTAGGACACGAGGGAAAAGGAAGTATATTTGCAGCTCTGCAAACCCAAGGTATGATCAGCTCGCTCTCATCCGGTGCAAGAACGAGCGGCCCCGACTTTAAGCTGTTCAGCATTGACCTCGAGCTGACCGAGAAAGGGGAGGAGCATTGGGAACAAGTTACCGAGACAGTGTTTGCATACTGCCGTATGCTCAACAAAGAGTTGGAAAAAGAATCCAAGGATGAATCAAAGGAGATGCGTCGCATCTGGGAAGAACAGAGCAAGCTTGATAAGATATTCTTTGACCAGACATCACCGGGAGGTGCCTACAGCTATGCCCCAAACCTGAGTGAAAGAGTAAATGCATATGGTACAAAAGAATGTCTTTCTGCTGGAAGTATGTTGAATGAAGACGCTGGTACATTTCCGCTCGATTCCGTAATTGAGACTGCCAAGTTCCTCGTCCCCGACAATTGTCTCGTAGAGAGATGCAGTGCGAAAGCTTGGGAGGAGGCTGAGAAAAATGCTGATTCAGGCTCCTTTGGATTCGAGAGGAAGACAGAACAATGGTACGACGTGGAATATATCGTCGCACCAATAGCGGCAGAAACTACAAAGGCATGGAGCGAAGATGTACCAAATAGCAAGAGTGCAAATGATTCGACAGAGTTGAGGTTACCGAGTGAAAATCGCTACATCCCAAGATCTTTAGACTTGTGCGAAGAACTACCAGAAGAGGCAAGAGTTCCAAGAATCGAAAAGCCGATCGACCCACCCAACCTGTTGATAAACAACGAGGCAGGGCGCCTGTACCATAGACTTGATGATCGGTATGCGCTACCGAAATCGAGCGTGATTGTTTTGATTCGAAACGCAGCTACAGTACACAAGAAGGCAAACGATGGTAAATGGGACTATGATGGTAAAACCGGTCTGATGTCAACGATGCTTTCGGTGATGTTTAGCCAAGCGATGGCTCAAGAGAGTAAGTAAATTTCATTTCTTCGGAACATTCATCCAATTTTGTATCGCTTGCCCTCACCCATGTTCTTGTTTTCCGTTGTCGGTAGCCTATGATGCCGATCTCGCGGGTCTTGATTACAATCTATCACTAGGTCCATCTGGGGTCAAGCTACATTGCTATGGATTTTCCGATCGAGTTCCAGATTTGGCAACGACAGTGCTAGGTAGGTGCTGTGGGGAAATTGTGCTATGAATTCGCCACAGTGTATTGACTTGTCTTTACTATCCTTAAGAGAACTTTCTTGCTGGCGATTTTCTAAAGGATGCCTATTTTGTTTCCACAAAGGATCGTCTGGTTCGGGGCTTGGACACTTTCTTTTCGTCTCGCCGAGCTGATTCACTTGGGATTTACTACCGTGACGCCCTTCTTGCTTCGAAAGATGGTAGTATTAATGATAGTCTGTTGCAAACTAAAGATATCGATATGGACGCTTTGAGAGAACATCATAAGTCGATCGTGGAGAACAAAGAAGTGTTATTGGACTGTCTTTTCACTGGAAATGTGTCAGCAATGACGGCCAAGAGCTTGTTTTCTGACGTCGATGCTACCATCTGTCGCGCCACGGGATCTTCTCTGGAAGCAAGACCGTCGCTTTCTTTCGTTCCGGGTAAGTTTACGGTCACGATTGAAGCATTGGCAGTTTCCGCAGTCCTAACTTTTCAATTTCAATGGCACAGCAACCGACTTGGAGCGACGAGTCATGCCACAAGAAGATATCGAGCTTCATTTTCAGAGTGAAAATCCCCAAGAAGAAAATGGGGCCGTGGTATTCACATATCAATCACCCTTTCCCTCTTTCCGAGGCAAAGGGTTGTCCCACGATTCGAGTCTGAAGTCCACTTCTGCTATGCGTCTACTGTGCCATATGCTAAGGGAGCCACTTTTCGACGAGCTGAGAACCAAGCAACAGCTGGGGTACATTGTCAGCTCCTACTACGATAGAGGTTTTTCGGCACGTCAACCAGATGACGACAAAGTCTTGGATCCATCAATGGTCCCAGTGGACTTTATCACTATCAGCGTTCTTAGCCGAAAGCTACCACCAATTGATATTGCAACACGCATCGACGAATTCTTGGAGCAATTCCGAAATTCATTGCACGAGATGCCAGAATCCGAGATCAGAGATCATGCAGATGCTCTGAGCAAGAAGTTGCTGAAACCTATCCAGAAGTTGCTCACTGAATCCAATACTCACTTTGGTAAAATCCACCGCTTTGCACCCGAATGCTTCTCAACAACGGATGAAGGGAAGAGCGAGCCGTTGCCATGGAAAACAGATGAGGACTTGGCGGAGTGCATTCAATCACTGAGTCGAGCAGAACTTGTGGAAACTTGGGATCGAATTATAGGCCCAGCCAGCCGTGCCCGTATCGTTTCTTGTGTATACGGGAATACGTTCCCCCTGACAGACAAATCGAATGGCGGAGGTTTGATGTCAAGCTTTGGACTTGGGAGTCGTTCCGCGAAAATCACAAACGACTTTTCCAAGTTGGTCAACTATCGGCAACGAATGGGTGTTTTCAATAATCAGGCAACTGTCGTGAGCAAGAGAAGCTACTCATCCATTGCATCCCCAAGAAATTTCCTTGGGTCATCATCTTCCAAACTGACGTCGACAATTCCGATAGTTGGAATGGGCGTTGTTGGTGTGGCTGGTATGGTTGGCTGGACCATGATGCGCAACCAGAAAGCTACATCCTCGAAATAGAAAGCATCTCACTGCGAAGTAGCTAATTGAGCTCTTTGCTATTACCAGAAGTCTGTCAACTTTTGCTTCTGAGACGCCTTCTTCTTTGGGTCCGTAGTCATCGTTTCTTCCTGCGTGGACTGGGTCACTTCTCTCACCACTTGTCGGACAGTGGAGGCATTGAGGCATGTATCAATGTGTCGATTCAGCACATCGTTGTCGCCAACGATGACGCTATTACACAAAGGGCAGGTGTAGGATTCTTGCGTCACCTTCATCGGATTCTCGGGGCTTGGGGCATCGCCGGATTTGCCATTATGTTTGTCGTTTCTAGGCATTTGAGTTGCTTCACGTTCATCATTGCCTTCAGGGTCGTCTTGGATATGACCTTGCTTGACTGAAGAGAAAGCAGAAGCCATATCGGTGCGAGTCAGAAACTTATCCATTGGCTTTTGCTGCGGCAAAGCATCTTGGTGCTCTAGGGAGTAACAACGTATTCCTAAGAGACGGCAACAAAGTACAAAGCTAGCGTCTTTGCTGCTGCTAGAGCTACTCTTTCCAATGCCAGAAGTATTGTAATTGATGTCATCATGAACTTCTCCCTTTTTCTTCATACTCTTTGCTTGCTTGACAGCAAGCTCTGCTTTGATACTAGCAAACAACTCGTTGGCCACTACCTTTAATTCGTCTGCATCTTGAATGTACACATTGCGATCCAAGGACTTGGCTCTGGACCAAACATCAAAGGTGTTCAATTTTACTTTGACGGTAATAGTGTGGGCCTTGACCTTTTTCCGTACCATGTCATTTGACAGCATGTCAGCAATGGAATCCAACTTTTCTTGTAGCTTTTGGTAATTCGCCTCGGGTCGAAAGGTGCGTTCCCGACTAATCCCCTTTTGATGGTCATCCTCCTCAATCTCTTCCGAGTTGGCCCCAAAACTTTTGAAGGAACCCCCATCGCTCGAAGTGCTACTACTAGTACCAATGTGACCGACGCATGCCTTGAGTAAGTAGTTGGCCGATGCATTTTTGAATAGTTTCTGAACCAAGGCTCGCTGTTCGTACAAGTCTTCCACAGTTTCGACTTGAAATACATGCTGAAGAATCTTTTGGGTGACCCTACCAATCCCTGGCACCTTGCGAACAGGAAGTGGATGCAAGAATTCCAAGACTTTGTGGGGATCCACTAGCAATTGTCCATTTGGTTTGTTGATATCACTGGCCATTTTGGCCAACCCGGAATGGGGTGCAATGCCCGCCGAACAGGTCAAGCCACCAGTTCGAATTTGAACCAATGCCCGCATGTGATGCACAATGCTTTGAATTGCTCGGTTACAAGTTTCTACTGAATACTTCTTCAACATTTTCATGTAGTTTTGATACTGGTGAGGTCTTTTGGTGTCTTTCACGTTCATGTCTTTCGGGTCACCATCCAAGTCCTGATCACCACTACTATCTGCTTCATTCAATTCCTCCATATCATTTTCTTGTTGCATTTCGTCATCCATGGCCCTGCTACTTGCCTCTTCTTCTCCTTCTTTTTGTTGTGCATCCTTGTCTTTCTTGATGTCCATGTCACTATCGTTGGCAGCACCACCAGCCTTGACAGCGGAGCCCGTCAATTGGTCTCGAATCCAATGATGCAACTCGTCTGGTAGTGCTGATAGTACACCATTACCCAAATCTCCGGCATCTGATTTTTTCCATCCATCGATTTCTTCATTTTCATTTTCATTTTCTTTTTTGCAGCTGTAATGTTGCAGATGCAGTGCTAAATACGGTCCCAAATCCAGATAGGCCTCATCCAAACTGTAGGATTTCAAGTGGGGATCATATTCTTTCAGCACAGCTACCACTTCTTTGGCCTTTTCTTGGTAAAGCGCAAAATTCGAAGGCACATGAATCAATCGTTGCGTGCCATGGGACAATTCTTCCACTAGTTTGTCAGCCACAAAGCCAGCCATGGCCGACCGGACTCCGAATTGTCGAGCCTTGTAATTGCTCGTAAGGACCATGCCCTTGCCTACGCAAGCCGGATGTTGATCCAAGTGCGGTTTCGTTAGTAATTCACAAGCCATGTAAAACATGTCCATGTCGACCACCACCTTGGTAGCTCGGCAAGGACACGAAGCCTGCCAGGATTGCATTTGAGCATCCAGTGCGGGATTGCTTGGGAGACGGGATCTTGTTAGCAGCAATTCTTGTTTTTTGGTTTGGAGTTCGGCAATACGTTCATTGACTTTGGCATCTCGTCGCTTTTGTTGTTGAATGTACAAGGAATTGCCGGATTCTCTCAAAATGATGGCATCAATCTTGGACCGATCAATTCCATCCATTCCCGCCTTATCACTGGCCGAAATGATGAGAGCCGATGCGTCTTGGGAAAGGGAAGGAAGATTCTTATTGGTGGTGGTTTTCGTTGCTGTCAGTTTTAGTTTCTGTAGGGAGTGTGATTTTGGCATTGCTTTGGTAGGAGATGGCAGTGACTTCATTGTCATTCTAGATTTGGAGTAGGGATTGTACGTCAATGGTGGAGAAATCGGTCGAGAAGTAGCAGCTGATTTCAATGATGTTGTTGCAGCCGTACGAATAGTATGTGGTATTCTTTGTTTTGAGTTGTTATTGTCTTGGTTCGTAAATTCATCCTGTTGTTGTTGTTGTTGTTGTTGTTGTTG